ATCTTCAATATAGATATATTTTTTTAAACCCATAATTTTTGTTTTTGTTTTTTTTTTTAATTTATCAATATGCTTCATCCAGGATACATTCTACCTAATAGAACTCAAATAAAAAAAAGGAGAAATATTAAATAGGGTTTACACAGAAGAAATTGAAAAATATAATGTATTGAATGGGAAAATTGCAGCCATGTCTTTAGATGGCTGGAGTAATGTACATAATGAACCTATAGTTTGTATCTCTGTACTTACAGATAAAATTAACATTTTAGTAGAAACAATCAACACTTCTGGTTATTCACGTACTGGTGAATATTTTACACAATTAGCAAGAGAAGCAATAGATTTTGTAAGACGTAAATTTGGATGCACAGTAAAAAGCTTTGTGACTGACAATGCAGCTAATATGAAATCAATGAAACAAGTATTGTCATCTGAAAGAGATATTATCATAACTTATGGGTGTGCTGCTCATACACTGAATCTTTTAGCAAATGATCTGAACATTGAAAATGTGAGCAAGCATGTTACACAAATAATAAAATATATAAGAAATAATCATCAAGCTGGAGCAATTTATAAATTAAGCGGAGGAACAAAGTTGCCACTTCCTACTGAAACTCGCTGAAATTCTGTATGTGATTCACTTGAAAAATGTCAACTACTGGAGCATTATTTTCACAATGTTTGAAAAAAATAAAGACTTGGATCCCATGATTGATAAAAAAGTAAGTGATACACAGATAAAGCGAAACACAGAAGATTTATTGAAAATATTGAAACCAATTGCAGTAGCTCTAGATAAGTTGCAAAGAGATCAAACAAAAATAAGTGACACTTGATATTTTTATAGATTTGTTGAACAGTTTATTATTTTTATCAAATGAAAAAAAAAATGAATCTAGATACTTTCAGACTGTCAGTGATGCTCATTTCCTGGTAAACACACTAGATCCTAGATATTTTGGATATAATCTTTCTGATTAGATCTAATTAGAAAATGAAGCTGCCGTGAATTTCGCAGATAAAGAGTTCAAGAATTTGTTACCAATATTATTCAAATTAAAAGCCAAATCTACTATAACATAATGGATATCGAAGGTTTATTAAATGCACCAGCCTCTAGTGCTGGAATTGAAAGAATTTTTTCAACTTTTGGTCTTGTTCATTCTAAGTTAAAAACCAATTAGGGGTAGAAAAAGTAGCAAAGCTTGTATTTATATATAGAACATTAAATAATGATATATTGAATAATTTTGATGAAATATAACAATAATATTGATAAAGAATATAGTTTACTCAAATAAAATACGTTATGCTTTTTTTAATTTAAAAGGATAACTAAATACCACATTTTTTAGTAAAAGCCTAATTTAAACCAAAAAAACCATGGTTTTTTTTTTTTTTTTTTTATAAACCTATGGTTTTTGGTTTTTTTCAAAAAAAAAAAGTTTTTTTTGCAACCCTTCATGCATTAGATGGAGGTAAATTAAAAATTTCTAACTGTATTATTAAAGTTATCCTCAAAAACACTCTTCTTTATTTTCAGTAACTTCTAGGGTACCTTAAAGGTCTATCCTTGGTCCTGTTTTGTTTCTTATCTACATTAATGATCTTCCTGACAACCTTACATCAAAAGTGGCTCTATTTGCTGATGACTCAATTTTATACTCCTTTCTTGACAAAAAGTCTTCTGGCAGCTAATCTTGAATCTGATCTTACTTAAGATTGGGTCCTGCAGTGGCTTATTCATTTCAACTCCAACAAAACTATTTACTGCAAACAACTATTGCAATACTGTTGACAATCCTAATTGAAGAATAACAACCCTCTTACTGAGTTATCTTCTTGAAAACCATACATACGATTGATAGCTAAGTTAACATCTGCTAAGGTTGCTTGGTTTTATCTTGCTTGGCTTTATCTTACTCCTGATTACATTCTCTGCCTCTACAAATCTCTTATTCACCCATGTATGAAATACTGTTTTCATATTTAGGCTGGTTCTTCTAATGATACTCTTTCTCTTCTAAACAAGGTCAAAAAACTCATTGTAAATGTAGTTGAACCTGCTCTATCTGCCAAGCTTGTGCCACTCTTTCATCAATGTAAAGTTGCATCTCTTTCTTTTTTCTACAAATACTATCGTGATCAATGCTCATAGTGATCAGTTACTATATCTGTCCCTACATGCTCTAAAAACTTTTATTTGTCTTTTTATTTAGTTCATACTTTGACCTTTTAAAACACTGTCCAATTTTCATGTTTCACAACCAAGTCTTTCAACTGTTTCTTTTCTCTTTAACACTATTCTTTGCTTTTTAGTAACTCCTAACTTTATAGTGGTTGCTTGCAAACTTGTTGGGAGTGAATAAATAAATTTATAAAAATAAATAAACAAATAAATTTAATAACAATTTAACAAACTTAATGGCAACCTAATTTTAACCCTTAACCTATATATATGCGACACTCCCTGCATGTTCTTCCTATTTAAGTCAGTAAATGCTTCCGCTTATTCAAGATGTAAAGTATCGTGTGACAAAATAATAAACCTTACATTATAAAATATAAAGATAGATTTTACTTTAAGGTAACAATTATAATTAAAATATAAAGATAGATTTTACTTTAAGGTAATTAATTACAAAATAACAATTGAGGCAAAATATCAAGCTAATATTGTTATTATGTCATTGTAGTGAAATCAGTCAATAGCCTTCTTACCTGCGCATCTGCTTTTGAAAATAAAATTTTTACTTTTAAAGAAAATCTTGCTCAATTTGTGAGAGCCAGCTTCTCAGACTTAACAATGCTTCCATTTTAACAACAAACATCATCCAACTGAATGATCTAATCATCATTAAGTTGGAACTAATAGATCACTGAAACAATTTCTTTATCTTATTTAATTTCTTATATAAACAACTTGCTTCAGTATGAATTAAAATCTGTCTAGTTCTGTCCAGACCATACACCTCTAAAACAAGAAACATTCAACAACCTAAACAAAAAGTATACTACGGAAAACATAGTTTTACTGCAGTAAATTTTTTGCCAATTATTGGAAATTTACTAAATAAGCCTATTTAATTTGTAAACCACAGCAAAAAAACACAATTAATGCTTAACCCCATTCTGAACAGTCATATTCATAACTTATCTATTAAATTAGTGACCGATGCAATTTAGTTATTCTCAGTATTATCCTAGTTCAATTTTCTTCAGCACCCCTGACTCATTCACTGACTTCATCTTTCATGCTTGTACACGCTACTTCTCTCAAATAAAAAAATAAAAAAATCTTCTTCTCCATCAAAACTAATCAAATTCTCTTTATTTGCAGAAAAAAACGAATACTATTTTTGCTTTAAAACATGGTTCAAAAACAAATCAATTTTTACTCTTCCAAACTAGAGTCTGTATGGATTAGGCCATCTACACAAACAGCAAATTTGTCACAAATCAACTCAAAAAATCTCAACTACATAAAGATTTCAATTGCTACTATTCAAAATCAAATTCCACTTGGGTTATCTGAACAATATGATTGTTCCATCACTTGGCAATACAAATTGGGTTCTAGTCACAAACCATCCCACTTCAACAGCTCACATTAATACAATTTTAGTAATAACCTCAGTATAAATCAAGCCCTAACTAATCAATAAATTAAATCCAGTACAATAAAAATAATTTTTAGAAGAGTTTAATAATTTAATTTTTAGATTTTACTAATTATTTTACTAAATATCAAATAAAGTCTCCTACCTTCTTTGGTTTCTACAGAAACTTGATCTAAACCACAACCATGACCAGAACAATACCAGCGTGACATTACTAGTGGTAACCAGTTACCTACCTGATAAATTGGAATGGTTACAAAATGCAAACGGTCCAGCCAATTGCTAATGTATTTGTATCTGCCTCGTTTAAGAATTTTTTCAATTCGTTCTTGTAAAGCATTATCATCACTTTCTATTGAATCATCAACATCATTGTTCATTTCTCTTGTAACATGTGCAACTATACTACGTTTTTGAGAACTTTGTGAGTCAAGCCGTAAATGATCTTCATAGTTATTTTTTTCTTTACTTTTAGAAATTTTATGCTTTTTATTATAGTTTTCCCAATTCCATTTTTTTGTTTGAATATGTGATTTTTTTAAAATTTTAGGTTTAACATCTTTTGGTAAACTATTTTCTACAGACCTTCTATCTATTCGTCGATGTGGAATTGGATACATTGTATTAAATGTCTTTTTTCTAATGATACTTTCGAAAGATCTGGAAAAATTAAATCATTAGGTAAATTTAAGAAAGCTTAAAAATAGATAAACTGATCAAAAGAGAGAGATCTAACCTTCGCTGAGCTTGCACATCAATGTTATTTGCAAACTTATTGACACTCCTAAAATTGAAATGCAACTAAAGTAACTAATTTTGATTTTTTAAAGTAGTTTTAGTAAACAAAGCTAAATATATGAGCAATTTATTATTTATATATATACTTTAAAATCACTCACGTTGATAAATTCTTAGCAAGAGTGTAATACTTTTCAAGGATTTCTTCAAAGCGCATCCTCATCCATTCTGCTGTTGCAGCAGCATTATTGGATGAACTTAAGAACACATAATGGGCGTTCTCTGGAGAATTATCAATAAGCTCTAACAATGAAGAATCTTTAGTCCATAAACATTCTAAGAAGCCAGAGTGGTTCGTAAATTCATGAAATATGATTGGTGGGTTTATATTTGTTTCTGGATGCCCTATCCCTTTATATACTAATGGTCCTTTTAAAGTAGGTAGGGTAAAATTTGGTGCTTTTTCGTCCGGATTAAGCTTCTGTGCTTCATATTTACTTATTATAAAAACTAGACATATTGTTAAAATACATTGTCTATTTTTTAACATCATCCTTTTAAACTATTCCACCTCAAATATTTAGTCCATTTTTTAATAACAATAAAATACAACTAATTTATTTTTTATTATACATAAGGATATTTACGTTCTGTTAAACAAACAGTTTAACAGAACGTTTGATATTATTCTGCAAATGTGCAAACCGACTTTTAGCTTTGTGGAGCTTACGCTGGTGTGAAGACAGAAAAAAAAGAAAACAAGCCGCATAAAAAGGCAGTCAACCATGAATAAAAAAATAAAATGTTTGCTTTCTAAATTATGATTAAAGTTTTCTTTTACTATTTGCAGGTAATGCAAGTTTACTTTTATAATTAGTTCCATAACTAAAAAAACATATTTTAACACCTTTTGAAAACATATCGAAGAGACTTTACGTTCTGTATTAAGCGCGCCACTGTTATCCTTAATTTAATTAAACGCAAGTCGGATATTACACGCACTATTTTATTCCTTCATTACGTACGTATTACGTCCTATGTACGTATATTCATACTTCTTTCCTGTATATATATTTGCAGGGGTTAGTAGGGGGAACGCAGGAGGTCGCTCAATATCTCGTTGCAACCGTTCCACTTCGTTTTTTTTTTTTTTTTTTTTTTTTTTTTTTTTTTTTTTTACAATGGGATTGTCCATAAATTACGCAACTTCTAATTTATATCTTTAAAGTAGATCATTTTCACTTTACGCGCTGATTTTTATTGAAGTTAAAGAGCTATTTTAATTTTTGCTAAAATGTATGACTAATATTATGTAGTATTAGTCATCACTTGAGATCTCGAAAGCAAAAGCGCACCTAACAAAAATACACCTACAGCAAAAATTTGAAAGAATGATTCGACACCCGAATAGGTTATTCCACATCCCTTTGAACAAACAGTTTGAACTTTTTAACACCGTTCCACTTGATTTACTATTTTACTTTAACCCCTATATATGTATTATATGTATTATATATACGTATTATGTATGTATATTCATACTTCTTTCCTGTAATTTGGGTAATAAAAGGAATAAAAAAATAAAAATAATTTACGTAAAATAAAGTCATAGCCATAACCATACTTACCATTGACAAATCGCAATTTTTTAAATTTTTACAAACGCTTTTTAAATAGTTTAAATGATCTCCAGCTTGATTAAAAAGCTAAATTATTTTTGGATCTAATCATAACGTAATCATGAATCATAAAATTTTGAAAAAGTTTCCTTAGCTCATTTTAAAGAGTTTAGGAGGAATAAACTCAGTGCTCAGTACTGGGTTCGAAGCTCGCCCAAAAAAAAATCTTACATTTGCAAAACAGCCCCTAAATTTGCAAATGGGCCCTCTTAGCTGTGAGATTTTTTTGTGTTTCAAACTCTTCTAAAAATATAGGATTTTTTACAAACTCAGTTTGTAGAAATATAAAATATCAATAAATCCACCAATGTAAACCTCAATACATCAGTTTTTATAACTTTGCATAAAATTCCTGAGATTCAAATGCAAAGTGATACATACTGCATTAAACGATTCCTGAAAATTTCGTTACTCAATAAAGCTCCGTTAACAAGAATGTTCCGTTAACAAGAAAGTTCCGTTAACAAAAAAGAATGTTTCAAATTTTCATAAATCATTTATCGCTAAAATTGAAAAATAAGAGAAAAATAAAAAAAAAAGAACAAAATTACAAAAGTTCACCAGGGGGTATAACTATCCTTTTTCTCGTAAAATTTTCATTACTATTATTTATTTGATTACTCATTTCAAAATATAATTATTCAAAGTAAACCAAAATTTATTCAAAATCAAACAGCCATAGTGGCTAGCTTGCTTGCTTCAGAAGCTAGAGATCCCTAGCTCAACGCCTCCTCAGTCCAAGTTTTATAACATCGGTAAGGAAGGAGGCATGAGCTTTCTTTCAAATGCTCTTCCCCGGACTAGGGGCGCTTTAAATAAATCAATTAAAAAACAAAACAAAAAACACATAAAATTAATTTTTGACAAAATAAGAGCCAGAAATAGACTAATCTTAAAAACTTCATTATAAAACGTGCTTTGAAACAGTGACGAATTCAGCATTTTTTTATTACTTTTTATTATCTTATTTTGATATTGACTTAATTTTAAAATAAGATATTGAATGAAGCTTCTGTGATTTTTATTTCATCAATACAAAATATCATTAATGCTAACTAATACTAAATTTATTCCACCAATATTTAGGTCCTAAGCTATTAAATAAACCTTGACTTAAGGTGAGTTTCCACTCATCCGTTTTTCTATTGGAAGGGGATAGGAAAGGGAATTATTATTTGCTCACGTGATTATTTTTCCCTTCCCTTTCCCGTTCCCGTGAAAAAACGGATGAGTGAAAACTTAAGGTGAGTTTCCACTCATCCGTTTTTCAACGGGAACGGGATAGGAAAGAAAAAAATAATCACGTGAGCATGCGCAGTTTTCTTTCAGACAAATAAAAACTCTTGTTACGCATGCTCACGTGATTATTTTTTTCTTTCCTATCCCGTTCCCGTTGAAAAACGGATGAGTGGAAACTCGCCTTTACCTTTCAGGCGAGTTTCCACTCATCCGTTTTTTCACGGGAACGGGAAAGGGACGGGAAAAATAATCACGTGGGCATGCGTAGTATAAGTTTTAATATGTCTGAAGGAAAACTACGCATGCTCACGTGATGATTATTCCCTTTCCTATCCCGTTCCCGTGAAAAAACGGATGAGTGGAAACTCACCTTTAAAAGCACATTGGCAATGGATAAGAAATATTTATAGCAGCTGTGGTTTAGTGGTTAGAGTTCTGGTTTCAGAACTGCAGGTTCGAGGTTCGTTCAAAGCTATAGTTCTGGCAATTTAGCCTAAATTATAAAATGTTGAACTAAATAAATCAAAAAATTAATCTTTCAAACTGTTATTGCTCCTCATTAAAAAAATGTGTCTCTATTTTTTTAAATCTATGTAACAATAACTCGAATATCTTTAAAAAGTTACAAAACAACGCCACAACCATAGTTAGTCCGCTAGACGTTTTACGGACGTCCAACGGACACGAGACGTTCATTGGACGTCGTAAGGACGTTTTACTGAGGTCTGTGTCCACTGGGGAGAGCTATACTAAATATGATTCACTGGGGAGAATTATACTGAATATTACCTTAAGCGGCAGGTTAACTCACAAAGCCAAATTGTTAAAGTACAAATACACAAGATTAAACAGGCTAATGTTGTTTCAACAGTTGTAACCAATTGAATAGGGCATAAGATGTGTGTGTGTGTGTATATATATATATATATATATATATATATATATATATATATATATATATGTATATATATATATATATATATATATATATATATATATATATATATATATATATATATATATATATATATATATATATATAATTTTTTTTCTTCCCGTTTGACAATAATTGCAATAACGAAGTAAATAAATAAAAATCTACTTAACAGGAGCAAAAAGAAGACTGTAGTTGTCTTATCACTAGGTCCCGTAATATATACCATACATATCATAGCTTTTAAAAACCGTGTAAGGTAATAGAAAATCTTGTAAATAAATTTAAATTTTTTTTTGAAATTATATTTTATATAAGGAAAGAAAGAAAAAAATATATAAATAAATAAAAAAAATTAAAAAAAAAAGTTTTTTGTTTTTTATATTTTATCCTCCTATTTCTTTCTTTTCTTTATATTCTTATATTCCTAATTTTCTTTTGTCAAATTGAGAATAATTAAGAAAATTTTTTTTTTTAAATAAAAAAATAAACAACAAAAAAACAAAACAAAAACATATAGACAACAAAAACAAAAAGATAAAAAGATGGATGCTCACACTCACATATAAATTCATGTCAAACAATTAGGGGTACTTTTTACATAAGATTTCAAGAATATATAGTGTAAACCTTTTTACATCCTCGGTAATAAACAAATGATAAAATTAAATCGTGTAAATGTTTACAATAGAATTGTATTTAATAATTTAGGTCCTCAATTTGTAATTGAGTATTTAGCGGCTGAATTTTGTGGTCTATAATATATCGGATATATATATATATATATATATATATATATATATATATATATATATATATATATATATATATATATATATATATATATATATATATATATATATTTATTTATTTATTTATTTAAATGGGCTGCAGCGACGGAGAGGGTGTTAAAAGCAACCCTCCCCCGAACAAAAAAATTTTATTATCAAGTCTAAACTAAATATTTTAATTAAAAACTGTGGCTGATGATTTCCGTTTCTTTTTCACAAGTTTTCATCAATATTTTTGAATAATAAATAATAAAAATCACACGCGAAAAATCCTAAAACTTACCATAAATTGGGTATTTATTTTTTAATGAAAAGCTTCTATATTATTTTCAATTTAATAATCAATCTAAAGATCAATACATTATATTAAAAACCATAATATAAAAAGAATGAGGACAATACTGAATAACGATACGATTAAAAATGTGGTATAAAAACAACACAAATATAGTGTCAATACGGTATGGTTTGCAATGAATATTAGTTAAAATATTTGCAGCTGATTTGTTTAGAAATTATTAAACGATGATAGATATTCAAAATATACTATAAATATAATATTTTAATTGCGTACTTTGCGTTTTAAAAATTTACCAAAATATGCATTTTTTCAAGTATTTTTATCTAGTTAAATATATGGAATTTAAAAAAAAAAAAAAAAAAAGAATATTTGGAATACTTTTAACAATTTAGGTAGCAAATACGATTGTATAAAGATAAAAAAATGTTTTTGAACATGTATTTATTGAAATAAAACAAAAATAGTGACAGTAGTCATTTTGATAACATAATTTTTTCATTTCATAGCTTTCAAATAAAACTTTGCTTTATTTGAAAGCTATGAAATGTGATGTATTTTCAAATATCCTCCATAGAAAATTTTGGGAAATCATTTATATCTAATGCATCATTTGGTTCAAACTGCTTTTTACCTTTGCTTGTTATATTCAAAATTTATGATTTCAATTCATTTTTAAAATTAGTTTTATCTTTCATTAGAATTATCTTATGTGCAACATTCTTAACATCTTTTTTACCGGATATATATTTTAAATGAAAATAGTTAAGCAAAGAAGCAGCTATATCAATCAAATTTGATTGATAAAATTTTTCAACAAATTCAAAATTATAATATAATTTCCGCTGAAGTTCAATCAAGAAATTTAAACGCTACTTAGTATAGGCTTTTTATTAAATATTTGCCAAACACCGGTAGTCCAGAATCAGTATTGTCTTGTTTTTCTGGCTTAAGAACGTATGGTTGTTGTAGTCATTGCTAGCATCATATTCTTTTTTCGTTTTGGAAAGTATTTGGAAAAACTGATTCTAATGCAATTTTTTTATATCATCCATTTTGTTTATTTGTAGAGGGGTATCCAGAAGATGAAGATGAACTAAATATAAATGATATACCATTATCATTAATAGTTGATAAACTTTGTTTCAAGTGTATATGTTGCACAATATTTAATAATGATGCAAACTACTATAGATCAATATAATTATTAAATTGCGAACTTTATTTGGTAAGTAACTTAAGCAATTCAATCATAAAAAAACTGCCAAAAGTGTATAATATAAAAACTATATTTTATCAGTTAGCTAAAATATATAAATCGAAGAAAAGAAAACAGAAAAAAGAACAAACTGAAAAACAAATTGAAAAAAACAAAAGGAACAGAAACTACAAATGGAGTGAATTTTCATCAGATTCTTGCGTTTTCGAAACTTTAAATGATGCACTGCACGACATAATGATAAGACACCCCAAAAATATTTATAAAACTCTAACATACATTTATATTTAAAAACTAATTTTTATTGTAAAAGAAAGCAAAGGGTTTACAACACTAAACAACATTTTAACAAACTTATTTTTAACGTAACTAGCATTTTATAAAAAAAACAAACGTTTTTTCAGTGCGACAAAATTATAAGACAGTTTTACAAAAAACAAATAAAGTTCCGGACTTTCATCAACACTAAATGACCATGATAGGCGAAGATTGTTGAGACAAGCTTCAAATTTTGCACATCAAGTTAAAGCAGAAGCAGGTGTGATTGTTATTTTACGTACAGTTCAGCGAGTTAATCATAATGCTTTTCACCTTTTGCACAAAAACCTCAGCAAAAACCATCTTAGACAATAAATCACATAAACAATCTAATAACTTTTGCAAAGGACCACGTAACATGGAATGAAGAGTGGAAACAAGTTGTATTTTCTGACAAAAAACGATTTTGTCTTGATGGGCTAGATAGTTGAAATTATTACTTTCACGATTTATGTAATGAACCAGTAACACATCAGCAACATCAAATGGGTGGTGGTGGTGTAATGATTTGGTATGCGATTGGGTATCATGGTAAATCAAAAATTCATTTTATTGACGGTAAAATGAAGGCTAAGAATTATCTTTTAGTTGTTCAAGAATTTTTAAAACATCAAGCATCTGTAATAAGTAGTGAAAATTTTGTTTTTCAGCAAGATAATGCTAGCGTTTATGCAGCTAAGATAGTATTGAAGTGGCTAGCTAGATCTCCAGACATTATTGAGAATGGTGGGGCACAGGTGTTACATATAGTGTTTGAAGGTGGTAAACAATAAAATTCATTAGCTGACTTGAAATCATCCATTGCATCTGCATGGGATGCAATTGACATTTCGTACATAAAAAAAGTTGTATAATTCTTTACCTTCTAAAATGATTGGAGTGATTAAAAAAATGGTAAAAGTACCCACTATTGATTGTTTAAAACTGAGACGTCATTTTATATAAATGACAATTTGTATGAATTTTTTCCAAAAGTGTCTTATAATTTTGTCACACTAAAAAAACAGTTTTTTTTTAAATAAAATGCGAGTTAGGTTTAAAATAAATTTTTTTAAATGTTGTTTAGTCTTGTAATCTTGTTGCTCTCATTTACTATAAAAATTAATTTTTAAATATAAATGTGTATTAGAGTTTTATAAATATTTTTAGGGTGTCTTATCATTATGTCGTGCAATGTAGCTCCAATAATGAAAAAACAGGAGTAAATGCCAGTAAATTAGTTGAATGTTTGTACTCTCAAGGAAAATCTTTTCAGATGGTCAAATGATGAGTGATGACTAATGTGTCAAATATGTAAAAGATTGGCTCATTTTCTGTGTTCTGGTGTTGATAAAAAATTTTAATGTGAATTCTGCCACAAATGATTTTATTTTAAAAACACAAATTACACTCTTTTGTTTGTTTTATTTGATTTTTGTTATTATTTAAGTATTATAACTTCCCTATATCAGGAGTTCTTTTTTGAAGTTTTTGCATTTTGTCACTATTTTTTGCACCAAAGCTCATTGTTATAAATAAAAATTTTGCAATTTATTTATAAGCTAAAGTACGTAGCTTTACAATAAAAATTAATTTTCTCCAAAACCATTTGTCTTCATTTTTTACCTATTTTAAAAAATGATTTCCATGATAGGCTACTTTACCCTAAAGTACGTACGCAGATATGAAGGGAGGGGGTGAGAGGGTTACTCAAAAAAGTACGAATGCGTACAAGGGCAAGGGGTGTTAAAGACCGCGAATACGTACAGAGTTTGACTATCTCTCCTAAAACATGATTTCTTTTCTTTTTAACAAGATAATTGAATTTCACGAGTTTAAGAAAATATAACGTCCAGTAACTGAGAAATGTCGAAGTAATTAAAGATTTTTCCGTTTTTAATGTTTTGAAAAGTCTATGCGCTTGGGAAGGAGGATTGATTTTGTAATAATAATGCGGACATGCGCTTAAAAAAGAAAAAAGGTGTGTCATTTATACAGGTGCACACAAGGGGGGAGGGAGAGTCTATATCAGTGGTTTTACTGCGTTCGTACTTTATGGATGCCAATCGCAGATGGTCATCTTGTAAACATAAAACGTTCTAATTTTTCGAGTGTTGTCAACGTAAAAGAAACTATAGTTGTACCTGTCATTTTGAAAAGGGCTTAAGCCTAAAACTTTTAAGATTTAGTTAATAAATTTTAATTTTTGTATGATTAATGTTTTTTTTATAAAAAATAAAACTTACATAAGTTATAAACGTTTTTTATTCATCTACTCTTGTGTTTAATTTCTCTAGCAGCGTACACATTATTTTAATAAAAATGTTTTTGTTGATTTTAAAAAGTTTTAATATACCTTTTTGAAACGACAAGTTCAATTGTTAAAATGTAAAATAAAATTTTTTGAAAAAATGTTTTTCAGACAGACGTGAAAAAAAAAAAAAAAAAAAAAATCAGGAAAATTGTTTTTTCATAGTTTAATCTTCCACTGACAAAAAAGTGATTATGCAATTTTTCTCATTGATAAGTTTTATTTTACAAACGATTAAACATATAATATTCGATAATAAATCATATATACACCTCTATATACCCGTACATCTTTCAAAAGTATTTAATGATATAGATTTCACAGTCACACAATTAATTAGATACATGAAAAAAAAAAAAATTTAATAAAATGATAATAGAATGTTACTACTAAAATTTTAAAGAACTGCGTTTTTAAAGATACCAATATAAAGCGTGAAAAAAAAAAAGTCAAAATAAAAATTTACAACCTATTTAATGATCGATATCAGTAATGCTGAATGTTCTAAGGTAGCATCATAAAATATAGACTTATTTATTTTTAGCTATCATTTTACCGCGAAATGATGCAGTTATTCTACGCGTGGCCCGAGAAAACGAGGTGCGATTATTTTCACCTCGAGTTAGCTGAGTAAGCGAGTCTTTTGACTTATCACTCTTTATATTTGATGAGGCAGATTTATTTTCTGAGTTTCGATTTAAAAGTACAACTGGATTTAATGATTCCTGAAGTTTTTGCTTTTGATTCTGCATATCTTTGATACTCGACAATGCCACACTGCGATTTAATCGTGAAGGTTTAGTTCTTTTTGCAGGTTCGACAGATATTTCGAAAGATGTGCACTGAAAATGGGGTTTATCGATTTTAGACGCATCTGAATTCCGAAGATTGGAGTCAGATTTTACCGCTCGAGCAAAGTTAGAATGATCAATGCTATTTAACAACTGATCTTCTGTCTTCCACTTTTTGTAGGTAGCGCGTGGTGCGTCTTCTTCAACGTCATTTTTTCGTTTTCCTAAGGATATCATTTGGACATCTTGCTGGTTAGCTCCTTTTACACTCAATTCAATGGGATAAGACGATTTTAAATGAGGCAAACATAGTGTATTTCGTCTATGCAACTCATCAAGGCGAGTCTTTTCTTCAGTTTCAGCTTCAGAAGTCTGAAATGCATGAACATAACTAATTATTAACATGCACATTAAAAAAAAAAACACCAAAAGTTAAACCCTTCATAAAATAGCCTTGCCCGCCCTAAATATGCACACACACAACACACACGTATAAACTATTTAAAGTTACTTCTTTCAAATGAGCAATTCTTCCCCATTCCATGTCATCCATTACCTCAGGCTCCTGTTCTCCTTCCACACTGAAATTACATATTTGTGTTTGTGCAGCAGGTGGACCCATTATTGTTCTCTTACTGGGAGGGGTGCGACCCCCTAGATACCTCCGTGGCTGCAGAGACCGTCGTCGTTCCGCAGTACGCCGTAACGAGTAACTTCCAATTGAAATATTGTCATCAGTTTCTGATACATCATCCTCGCGTGTCACAGATAAAAGTGTTTTACGACGCGTTTCGCGCATTGATCGAGATCTCTGAAAAATTTCATCTGCACGATTTTTTTTTGAATCCAACGTTTCCAAGTCACTTATTTTTAACATATCGTCACTACCTGAACTAACATCATTTTCTTGTAATTTTTGCAATTTAGTCGAAGAGTTTAATGCTTCAATCGTCTTTTTAAGATTTTGTATGATATTTTCAGAACTAATGAGCTGAGTTTCAAGAGAACGAATTTTGGATACATAGTTACGACAAATGCTCTCCTGCTCAACACAGCGATTTTCTAACTGACTTATACTCTTGGTCTTTAATTCCAAATCACGCATCAAACCCTAAAGTAAAAAAAGCAAATGAAATCATTGTTCACACACAAAATAACCAGACATATTTATTTAAATTACATAATTTTAAACCAGCAACGGGAACAACTTATTGTAACTTGAGTTAAAAAAAAGACTTAATGGAGGGCTTTAATAACTTTCAAAAAGCGTGGTGGGTATTTTGACTCCAGCATACGAGTAAATATACTCCAAATTTAAGAGTCAATGAATAGTTAACTAGTGATCATAACGATGTATGAAGGCGTCACAACAATAAAAAAAACTAATCTGAAACAATTTCACAATTTTACTATTAAAGAGACAAAATTCCTAAGTAATATGTTAGTTGGAAGATACAAATGTATGGTTTGTTATTTAGAAAACGTGATATATATATATATATATATATATTATATATATATATATATCATTTATATATAAACATATATATGTATATGTATATATATATAAATGATATATATATATAAATGGTATATGTATAAATAAATGGTATATATATATCTATAAATGGTATATATATATAAATGGTATATATATATATATATAAATGATATATATATATATATAAATGGTATATATATATAAATGGTATATATATATATATATATATATATATATATATATATATATATATATATATATATATATATATATATATATATATATATCTGTACCTGAGAGCCAACTTGCCTTAATTCCATTTTTTTGATTGAGAGTCAATTTGTCCTAAGTCCATGTATTACATATATATATATATATATATATATATATATATATATATATATATATATATATATATATATATATATATATATATATATGTATATATATATATATATATATATATATATATATATATATATCAATTAAATATATATATATATATCATTTAAATATATATATATATATATATATATATATATATATATATATATATATATATATATATATATATATATATATATATATATATATATATATACACACACACACGCACACACACTACCGGCAATTAATTTGAGACCAACGGTTAAAAACGGTATTTACATTTCAAAAATAAATATATCTGATTATCATATTTGAAATTCTTTATTTTTGGATCAAAAATAAAGAGAGAAATTTGCAATTCTTTATTTTTGGATCAAAAATAGAGCAAGTTGAAGTTCACAATACAATCAAGCATTTCAAGGAAACTGGTCAATATTGTGACTTACTACGACCTGGACAGCCTAGAAAGATAGATGAACATGGTGATCGTTGTATTACAAGATTATCTATGTCAAACAGAAAATTAACAGCTCCACAAATAATGAGAGAACACAATGAAACTGCTGAAAAACTTATTTGTGTCTGGACAATAAGAAACCATTTGATGAAAGCTGGACTTAGAGGGCGTGTAGCTGCCAAAAAACCGTTGCTAAGGAAAGCAAACAAGGTGAAATGACTACAATGGGCTCGCAAACATGCCAACTGGACAATAAGTCAATGGAAAACAGTAGTATGGAGCGATGAGTTCAAGTTTGAAATATTTGGCAACAAGAGAAGAATATGTGTACGCCAGCACCAGAATGAACGTTACATTCCGCAGTGCATTGTGCCTTCTGTTAAGCATGGAGGAGGTTCAATAATGGTATGGGGTTGTTTTGTAGGTCACAAAATAGGAGATTTGATAAGAGTTAGTGGAATTATGAAAAAGGAGCAATACAGAGAAGTTTTGGAGAATCATGTCGTTTCATCTGCTCATTGAATGGTGGTTCGATGCCAGCCTGTTTTTATGCAAGATAATGATCCAAAACACAAATCTAAACTTTGTACAAATTACCTGAATCAACTAGTACAAGAAAAAACCCTTACTATAATGGACTGGCCTGCACAGTATATATATATATATATATATATATATATATATATATATATATATATATATATATATATATATATATATATATATATATATATATATATATATATACATACATACACACACACACACACACACACACACACACACACACACACACACACACACACACACACACACACACACTACCGACAATTAACTTGAGACCAGTGATGAGAAAACAGTAACTCTATTACAAATCAATTGAATCTATCAGTTATATATCCGTTTATGTTTTTTTCAATCTAAATTGATTTAGATCGAAAAAAACATAAACGGAAATATAACTGATAGATTTAAAAATCTTTCATCTTCCTGCTGATAGATTTAGATATCTTTCATCTTCCTAACTGATAGATTTAGAAATCTTTCATCTTCCTGCTGGAAGATGAAAGATTTCTACTCAAGGGCCATCAAATATCAACTTTTAGGATTCAGGCTGGCATGGAATCTTTTATTCCTATTCAATGATTCCAAGTCAAGTCTCACTCTTCTCTATTAGTTACGTTCTACCTGATATAGCCAACAAACAAGTTGATCCATTGCTTGACATTCGTATTACTCCAGCTTCTTTTGATCTTCTCATTTTATAGCTGATTTGCTAACAGTAATAACCGATAGGTTTTATCGTGCATTAGATCGAGGTGGAGAGATTAAGACTATCGTTCTTGACATTTTTAAAGCTATTGATAAAATTTAGCATGTTGGTCTTTTCCATAAGCTTTCTTACGGTGTATCAGGTAGGGCATCAAATACCGGTATACTGAAAAACAGTATCCCGTTATACCGGCTGTTTTTTAATACTGATACTGAGCTCTCAACACAGGTATATACCGGTATTTCAGTTACTTTTCTCATCAGACAGAAATTGTTCGATGAGACTTTGTTTAGACACGAAGTTTAGAGATCTTTAGAGAGTAATAAGCACGAAAATATCACAGAAAAAAAACTTTTATTATAAAAATGGATAAAAAAAAGACTTTCTTAAATGTAGAAAACCTTTTTTAGTACTACTAAAGTATTAAATAAGTAACATTTATATTTTGAAATATTAAACTCTTTTAATATTATCTAAGCGAGAAAATATCACCAAAGAGAACTTAGATTATTGAAATAAAAAAAGCCTTTTTTTATTTTTGTTTGTGTAAATTTTTTTATAATTAGATAATTAGATATTTTTTGGAGAGAATTTTTTTGTAACTTTGTTGTGTTGTGCTACACCAAAACAAAGTGTGTTTTACTTTGTTGTGCTCGTTTTATATTTATTTGTAAATAACAAAAACAACAAATAAAGACAAAAAAATAAATTTAAAAAAAATAAATATTTAACACACATGTATTCAAAGTCAAGTTAAAAAACAACATCTCTATTTAATATAGAGATGTTATGTTTTTTCATATAAGTTCATTGTGTTTCAATATTATTTATCATATTTCGAATTCTAGTATTTAAAAACATGCTGCCCTAGCCATGGCTGATCAACAAAAGTATTTGAAGATTTGGAAAAAAGCCTGGACTTCTGTAAAAAATAGTTGTTATTTTAACATTAATGTTCATTCTAGAAACAGATCTTAGAATTAAAATCGATTGCGATATCATATGTATTACGACGGATGGTGTTTCGGTAATGAAGAAAGTAGGATAATTAATGTCCATCGACCAACAACTGCAAGCAACCAATATTAAGTTTGGAGTTACTAGAAAAAAAGAAAAGAGTTATGGAGCAAAAAACGGTTAATCGAAGACTTAAAAAGTTGAAGGTTGTATGATTCAGGAAAACATGAATATAGAAGAGAGTTTTAAAGGGTTGAAGTGCGGAGAAAAAAATTAGACGAATAAAATTTTTTGGAGCATGCAGCATGCAGGGACAGATTCAGTAAAAGAATAAGACTTTGATGAATGACTAGTTGACCGAGAGTTTTAGTTGATCGAACTCGAGATGATGGGCTCCTTTGAGTAGCAACCATGGTAGTATTTGTAGAAAAGAGAAAGAGATGCAACTTTACGACAATGGGAAAGAGGCTCAAGCTTAGTAGATAGACCAGGTCCAACTACGTTAACAATGCATTTTTGGATCTTGTCTAGAAGAGAAAGAGCATTATTTGACAAACCAGCCCAAATAAATACAACAATATTCCATACAGGTATAAATAAAAGATTTGTAGAGGTAGAGAATGGAATCAGGGGATTAGACTGTTGTCATTAATTTTATATATTATTTTAACTTAAACAATAAAGTTTTTGAACCGTTTATTTGCTACTTTGGGTTTTAATAAATGTTTTTTTAAGTATTTGTAAATACGGATATTAATACCATTATATCTGTTTTCACTTAATCTAATACCGAAAATTAATACTGGTATTTAATTTTTGGTCTGGTATTGGAAGCCTTAGTATCAGGTAACATCTTTAAGATTATTGAAGCTTTTCTTTCCAATCATAGTATAAAAGTTGTCCTCGATGGACAGCACTCTTCTTTATATCCTGTAACTTCAGGGGTTCCTTTAGGTTCTATCATATGACGAGTCATCTACCCTTCATCTTCTTGGATTAACTCTAACTTTCGATCTTTCTTGGAAACCATATATCAAATCTATTGCAAAGTTAGCATCTGCTATGGTTGCATCACTTTATCCACTTTATCAAAGTGCAAAAACGCATTGTAAACATAGTTGGACCTGCTCTTGCAGCCAAGCTCCAACCATTATCACCTCATCGTAATGTTGCTTCTCTTTCTCTTTTCTACAAATTTTACAATGGGCACTACTCGAAAGACCTAGTGTCTCTTGTGCCATCTACTGAAGTTCATTCTTGTGTTACTTGTCATTCAATTAAGTCTCATCCTTTTACTGGGTCTACTCTTAAGTGCTCCAAAAACTCTTATTCTAGCTTCTTAGTCTAGCTTTTTTACTCGAACATCAGTTCTTTGGAATTTTGGCTTCCTTCATCTTGCTTTCCTGATTCATGTAATTTATAATCTTTTAAGTCCTCTATCAATCGTTATCTTGCTCTATAAACTTCATCTTTTCTTTTCCAATAACTTCTAACTCTAGTAGTGGTTGCTTGCAGCCTTGTTGGCAGCGATGATGTTGGAAAGAAATCTTTTATTTTTGATGCTTGCTTTTTTTCTTAAAGAAACTATTGGGCATACAGGCTTTTATTCTTGTGAACGATGTAAAATTAAGGGATCATATATAAATAACAAAGTGATATTATGATAATTATACACTTTGTAACACTGACTTTAATAATTTTAAATACAAAAATACTCATCAACATTTTTTGAGTTTTCTTGTTCATACACAAGTTAGTAGTGTAAACAACTTTGTTTTGGAATTTGCGTCAAAAAATGTTTATCAACACTTTCTTGCCTTAAGTGTAGCTATGCTATAGCTAAAATGAATGTGAAATTATATAAACTAATAAATAAATTAATGAACTAATTTGATTATATAATTATATCAAGAATTGCGTAGTTAAAATTAAGGGTTTATATATAAAGCATTAAATCACAGAAAGAAAAAAACTTAGAAAATAATTCCTCTAAGCCATGTCTAGAATCATACACTGAATTAGGTAGAAAAATTTTATAAATCAGGTTAAGATTTATTAAATTTTTCTCTGGATCAAGAAACTTTTAATTTCCAATTTTTAGTAGACTCTAAAAATTTACTTGTAGTTGGTAAAGCAATAAGGTATTGGTGCTCATAATTTTAAGCAACTTACATGAAGCAACAACAAAATAATAAAGTAAACTTATAGCTAGTACACTTTTAAATTTATTATAATTTAATCTTGTGACAATATAAAATTTTTGAGATTTTAGTAGTTTTGCAAATATGATCTAAATATTCTTTTTTTTAATACTTGTTATTTATCTGGTTATATATAGAATTTTTTTCATATTATTTTTCTGATTATTCAGTATTGACAATCAAAAATAAATTTGAAGGGAATGTATCAAAAAGATTCTTCAAAAACAAAGATTTCTTTTGACAAATTAGAATACAGTAAAGCAATTTGCAGTGAGATCTGTTTTACTTATCTGTATTAACCATTTTATATAATATTGCATACATCTAATGTATTCATTGATGTTAATAAAATTATAGATAGAGCTTTGGCCAAATGGTCAAATGCGCTCCAAGATCCATACAATAAAATTGTAAGAAACAAGTTAAAAAGTGCACCCGCTGAGATAAAATTTTTGTAAAAATAGAATTAATTTTTTGTATTTTATATTTATTACATATTTTTTACTTATTTTTTTTATTGCAGTATAACCAAATCCTCAAAGCCTGTAATACAGTTTTCCAGCTGTCTTAGTGAATATACTATAGAACAACATTCTTCACTATATTTTTTATATAATTCACTCAAAACTTTATTTTTGTCATCAAGTTCTAATATCTTGTAACAACATCATTGCATCATTTTCTTTTCCCTTTGTTTGGGACATTCTATTTTGCATTAAATAGTTTTTATAGTTCAATCAGATGCTGCAAAAATCCCTTTTCTTTATAGTTGATTTCTACTTGGTGAGCCTTTAACTTGTTAGATATCATAAATTCCTTGATAGTTTGAAAAATGACATTTCTTTTATACTTTCACTGAACAACTTCTGTTTATACTGTAAGCCCTTCAATTGATGTTTCACAGTAACATAAAAATGATTATCAAGATTTTGAACAAAACCTTGTAATTTACACTATCCTTGGTTGCAAAATAAAGTTGGTATTAACAATTCTCAAAGTGAAATTTTTCTAATACTGATATAAGACAAACTTATCTCTAACAACTTTAAGAACTTGCATATCACTTTATTTGAAGTAACTTACATATCACTTCATTTGAAGTGACTTATATATCACTTCATTTGAAGTAACATGCATATCACTTCATTTGAAGTGACTTCATTTCACTTCATTTGAAGTCACTTGGATATCACTTCATCTGTAGTGACTTGCTTATCACTTCATTTGAAGTGAATTACATATCACTTCATTTGAAGTGACTTGTATAAGATACTTTATTTTGAAGTGACACTTTATTTGAAATGAACCACATATCACTTCATTTGAAGTGATATACAAACAGGATAAATCAGATAAAATACAGATTCATCTGTTCAATCTTTAAGTAAGATCACATCCTGAGATAACACATCCTTTCCCCTCAATCCCATAATGTTATGTTCTGCAGCAAATCTATTTGTTATTGATTATTAAAAATATTATGTGATAATTTAAAAGTTTTTTAAATTATCACATAATATTTTTTAAAGAATTCAAGAATTTTTCAAAAATTTTGGAGTCACACCCTGAAAATTTCAACAATTGGAGTCAGAGTCAATACTCTTTTTTTACAACACCACACCCCTGATTAAAACCATCAAGCTGTTAAAAATAAATTTTAGCAATGTAAAAAATTTCTATTTAGTCACAGTTAATTCATCATTAGTTCCCTTTAAGACTGTCTCATAATTAAACTTTGCTTGTTTTAAAGAAGAGTTTCCCACTATTTTTTTTATTTGTCCAAATTAAACATAGTGTTTCTGCTATATTTACCAGACTGACCTACTGCAAGAACTGCTTGCTTATGTGTAGGCTTTAAGTAGCAAGATATGGCTTTGACTCTTTTTTTTTTTTGTTAATTACTAAATATTTAAATTTTAGAACTTTAGATTAATTTTTTTAAAACATGTTTTAACTTTTTACTTAGACATTAGTAATCTAAAAAAAGAATATTATTTATTAAAAAACATTAAAAACAATTAAATAAAATATTACAAAAGAAAAAAAACAGATTTTTTCTATATTGTTTTACAAATATAGAAAGTTTAGTTTCCTTAGTTGTCTATATTATTTTTCAATTTAAGAATAAGAAACTATATATTACATTACATAATTACATAAGCTATATATTACATTACATTGTTACATAAACTATATTACATAATTACTTTTATTATATACAGTATTGTGAAAAATTAAAGAACCACTAAAAACAAATCATAATTCTATTAAATTCTCTAAAATATGTTTGGGAATATTTCGAAGTATTGTTGGTAAAATATAATGCAACTTCTCAAGGTTCCTTGGTGCTTTCTTGGCAATCTCTTTATCAAGCCAACTCCAAAGATTTTCAATCCAATTTAGATCTGGGCTATTTGGTGGCCAAGTTAGATGCTCAATATTTTTGCTTTCGAACCATTCAGAAACAATTTTAGCCCTAAAACATGGTGCATTGTCTTGCTGAAAAATGAACAGAACGCTTTGCTTAAGTGCATCAATTAATGGTAACAAGTTGTTATTTAAAATATTGACCATCAAATAACTTAAACATACCAAGACCATAATATGTCATGCAGCACTATATTCCAACCAGCCTGCTACCTTGTTTTGTTCTTTGAACGATACAACCGAGATTATATTTTTCTGAAGGCTGCCTGCGAATCATAATCTGGTTTTTTTGGTTATCAACCTCGATATTTATCTCATCACTGAAAATTACTGTCCTTCATTTTATTTAGAGCATTTTTTGACACTTTAGCAAAATTCTTTTTGTTTTTTTATATGTTGTTTGGTAAGTCGCGATTTAGAACAGTTTTTTTCCATAGCATACTGTTAGCTATTAAGTTTCTTACGCACAAGTGATGCCAATGCTTGACGTCCATTTGAAAGCTTCCATTCCCTTCTTAATTCATGCGACGGCATGGTCGATTTTTCTTTGCCAACATGATTACATCATTGGGTGTCGTCAAACATGGTCTTCCAAAACGATGGCGATCAATGTAAGATATCGTCTCTCTGAATTTTTTGATGATTGTTAGCAACTATGTGATTGTTTTATTATTTTTCCAATTTCACGAGCGGTTTTACCTTCCTGGTGAAAATGCACTACTTTTACACGATCTTCATAGGTAATAACTTTTCTGCTCATTTTTTTAAAAGAAAAGAATTTTTTTTTTTGAAATTAAAAACTTTTTTTTAATACTTTTGGTTTTTTGGTAATGACTCAGGTCATTAATAGAAATTTAAATAAAAAGATAAAAATCAATTAAAAAAAGTTGTTCTCACCGCATTTAACACAAAAAATATTTTGTGGTTCTTAACTTTTTCACAAAAAAAAAATTGAAAAAATTTAACAAATAATATTTAACCTTATTTTTAAAGGTTCTAATTTTCAAAAAAAAAAAAAAAAAAACTTTTTTCTTATGTTCTATTTAATATGTTTGAAAAAAAAAGACTATTTCATTATCTTTAGAATAAAAATTAACTAATTTTATTTGAAAAATTTTTTTTTTTTTATTTAGTGGTTCTTAACTTTTTCACAATATTTTTATCATTACATAATAAATTAATAACCCTACACTATGCAAAATATGATTTTATTTTTATGTATAGGATAAACAGACCTCCAAATTTAAAATGAAAGCCAATCACAATCACAAAATCAATCACAAAGAGTATATTGTTATAACACTCACTGAGTTAAATTTGTATTTCCATACCATATATAATTTTTGTTTAACCATTTTCAAGAAAAAAGTAGAAAAATTTAGTTGAATATGCAACTTTATTTCCTTAATAATGCCCACAATCATTATTTTAAGTAATACTTTGCTTTTATGTTAATATATTTTTGTTGTTGCAGAAAAAAAAAACATATTTCAAGAAATGTGTATAAAGTTTTGAAAATGTTTACCATGCATTTTTCTTCAAAGTTTACAACAAGCTTTTTGCTAGATTCCAGCTCTCTGCAAAGTTTCTGAAAAAAAAAAAAAAAATTAGAAAAAAAAAATCTTGAAAATAAAAGTTAGTATATATATATATATATATATATATATATATATATATATATATATATATATATATATATATATATATATATATATATATATATATATATATATATATATATATATATATAAATAAATATATATATATATATATATATATATATATATATATATATATAAAAGAATTAATAAAAAATAACGAAAAAATGACAAAATAATGACCTTGTTATCTGAGCGCAATTTTTGAAATAGCATTTTGTCATCTAAAAAAAAAAGATAATATGCACATCTTAAAAATATACAATAAAACATAGGACAAGAAATATTACACATATAATTTTAGAGTTTTGACAATGCTTTATTGGTTTAGCTACAAGTGTTTTATCTAAAGTTTTAGCTACCAGTGTACATTTAAATAGATAACAGTGTACAATTTAATGTATTAAAAAAATTTTTTTGGAGACATTTAAGGACTATTAAACAATAACCAAATATTTATACTTTTGTCAGTTTTGACATTATTTTCTTTTCCAAAAATGTGCATTAAGGTGTCCATTATTTTAGAATCAGAACTACAAGTTGATAGATTCTCAAAAAAAAAAAAAAAAAAAAAAAGTGTAAAACATGCGCTTGATAATAATGACTGGATTCACAAAAATGATTTTTTTTTTAGGAAAAAATGGAAAACCCCTATTTTCAGAACAAATATACATAGATATTATATCTCACCCCACAGGTAAAGTTTATAAAAACTGATAGTGCAGTGAAGATTTTAAATAAAAAAAGTTTAAGTAAAAAAAAGATTTTTACCCAGTGAAATGTTTAATGATTTAACCCATGATCAAACATTAAATTATTATATATTATTGCCATTAAATTATTATATACTATTGCCATTAAATTATTATATACTATTGCCATTAAATTATTATATACTATTGCCATTAAATTATTATATACTATTGCCATTAAATTATTATATACTATTGCCATTAAATTATTATATACTATTGCCATTAAATTATTATATACTATTGCCATTAAATTATTATATACTATTGCCATTAAATTATTATATACTATTGCCATTAAATTATTATATACTATTGCTATTAAACTATTATATACTATTGCCATAAATTTCAAAAGAATTTATCAATCCCATATTTTTCAATATGAACCTGAACAATGCAAGATGGTTGACAAATTGATAGTTAGCAACTTAAATCATGGTCTTGTATACTTGTACAAAGCACATAACTTGATCATATATTGCTGTTTAACAAACACATAGATTTTGCAATTAAACACATCAAAAAGTTTACTACCAACAAATGCAATCCTTTTTTCACAACTTATCTCAACTTAACATATCCATTATTGATAAAATTGGTCTCTCAAAAACCTTAATTTTGAATTTATGATTACTGAATTATTTTTTTAGCATTATATTGTGCATGTGCAATCAGTTTGTATTCAAACTCCTTTAATTCCAACTCCAATAAATTTAAAACATCTAGTTTTGACTAGGACAACAAGTTCTGGCTCAAACAAATTTACTTTGCCTGATTTTCTTATTTTAGTTGATTTAAATTTTCTTTCACTATCTATTAATGATCTATTAAATTTACTCTTTACAATAAATCTGAATTGTCTTTCATATAAACTGTATAGTTTAAGAAATGCTAAATGTTAACTTAAATAAAAGATTTAACATGTTTAATAAAAATATAATAAAAGTGTTGCTCAAAACTTAATTATTAGTTATAAAGTCACTTATCATTAATTCATAGCCATGGTATTTAAAATAGGTTTGCTTTAGTAAAACTATACATTTTATAAGTCTAAACAGTGACGTATCCAGAAACTTTTTGGGCATACCGGTCATACTTCTGCGGACGCATTGATGACTTTTTTTGTTTTAAAAAACGACATAAAAATCAGTAGCTGTTAACACATTTAAGGATCTCAAGTACCAATTGGCGTGAAAAACATAAAAAATGCTACTGAAAATAGTCAATCATAGCCTCTGTACTCTATAAGAAACAAACTTATTATTGAAATATTTAAATATTTAGAGCTGGAGTTAGGGCTAAAAATTAGGGCACCCATACTGGTATTCCAGTATCAAATTTGGCCATGATGTATCCAACAGTGCTAAATGATTTTTATTAATTAGCAAAAAATTTATAAAAACATTAATTACATAACTTTATATTACATAACATATAGAATAAATATAAAAAATATATATTTCTAAATTATAAAATAAACACACAAAAGTGTTACCAAAAACAAAACTTTCTTTTTTCACAATAACCTTACTTAGCAAAAACCTAACTTTCTTTAGTATGCCAAAAACATATAACTTACTTTGGTATGTTAAAATATTGTCTTGATATTCCAATATTGCATTATCAACATGTTCATTAACTTCACTTCTCTCAGCATCAAAAAGTTCACTTTGTTTTTTTAACTCTTTTTCAAGCAGTTCTTTCTCACAAAAAATTGCATCCACTTTTTTCTCTGCAAGCAAATTATTTCTTTTTAATGCATTATTAAGTTCTTTTTCACAATCAAGCTGAATCAGCAAATCTGATTTTTGTTTTAATAACTCGTCTAATTTTATTTTCAGATCTGTCACTTCTCTTGAATCTTTAGCAATACTTTTTGTGTGTTCACTATCACTATTTGTCTCAAACAATTGTTCTTTATTAATGCAAGGAAGTATAGTGGCATTGTTGGAATGTTGATCTAACTCTTTTTTCAATTTAATAACCTCATTCTTCAGATTTTCGCATTTTTTTACAAACTCTTGCAAGCTGCTATTTTCAGTTTTTAACTTATCATTAATAGTTTGAATAGTAAAAAGCTGATTTTGTAACTCTTCTAACTTCTTATTCTCAACTTTGAGAACAGCATTTTCATTAAGATATGTTTTTATATCTATTTCAATATTATTTTTAATCATCGTCATTTCTTTTATTTCTTTTTCAAAATGCTCTTCCTTCAAACGCATAGCTACATTTAAGCTTGCTAATTTTTCATCTAAAACAATACATTTTTGCTCATACTGTTTATTAAGCTGTGCATTTTCTTTAAGCTCACTGTATTTTTCAATGCTTGATTTTAATTCTACCTCTAAGCGAACATTTTTCTCAGTAAGAATTTTGCATTCTTCTTCAAAACATTTTAGTCTTTCAATTTCTGTTTGCAATTTTTCATTGACACTTTGAAGAGTAATAAATCGATTTTTGAAGTCTTCTAACTCTTTGTTCTCAACTTGAAGAGAAGCATTTTGGTCAAAATACATTTTAATATCAGCTTCATACTTTTTCTTAGTTGTAACCATTTCCTTTATTTCTTTTTCAAAACGATCTTCTTTTAAACGTAAAGCATCATTTAAATTAGTCAACTTTTCATCTAACACAATACACTTTTGCTCATACTGTTTGTTAAGCTGAGCATTTTCTTTGAGTTCATTGCATCTTTCAACGCTTAATTTCAATTCTAACTCTAAGCGGACATTTTTTTCTCTTAAAACTCTGCACTCTTCTTCAAAACTTTTTAATTTTTCAGTTTCTACTTTTAACAAGTTGTACTTCTCTTGTGAATGTTTAAGATGCAGGTTTTCCATAAGTAAGCTTTGATGCTGTTTTTCTAACTCAATTCGATTCTGTTTCTCAAGCTTTAACACGTCCAGCTTTGCTTCTAATTGAGCATTCAACCTTAAAGTAAATCAATTCTTTAGATATTAGAATTCTTTATACTTATTCATTACAGATAAAAAAAAAAGTCAAATTAAAAAACAAACAAACTACATGCTCTGCTGAATTAACTTTGACTTTGTATCATCTAACTCGTGCTGCAACGCAGTTACTCTAAATAGAAAAAAAAACAATAAAAATTGCAAGGTGCCAGAAATTAATTACTATTTCAATAACCATTTTAGGGTATATTTTGTTTAAAATTGATTATGCAATCAATTGCTAATGTTTTTTAACTTTGTTTATGCTTGATTGTTTTAATGAACATTTCGATAAAATCACAATATTAATTTCGATAAAATCACAATATTAACTTCGATAAAATCACAATATTAATTTTGATAAAATCACAATATTAACTTTGATAAAATCACAATATTAATTTCGATAAAATCACAATATTAATTTCGATAAAATCACAATATTAACTTCGATAAAATCACAATACTAATGTATTCATTTAAAGATTGATGTAATATCTGAAAAAAAAGACTTTAAAATCAAAATCAAAATAAACCTTTAAAACATAATCAAAAATAAGTAATTAAAACAAATTAATTGTCCTTTTAAATGAATTTACACTACAACCCCTAAGTTTTCATGACTAGGTCATGAATGTTTACTAAAACAATTTACATAGCAAAAAGAATTAACACCCTATAACAGGGTGAAGTACTTAGTTACTTGTTATTTGTAAATGTAGTAACTTATAATATTTTTTTAAAATCATTTAAAACTAATTCTAAATATTGAAATTAAGTAATGAATAGTTTAAATAAACTTTACTTGTTCTCTGCCTATTTTACTGTTGATTTTAATTAAAATGTAAATATAATTTAAAAAACTAGATTATGAAAAATCTAGTTTTTTAAATTATATTTACATTTCCAAAATTTAGGAGGACACTATTCTAAAAGAGTTACTTATATTTTAAGCTGACCATTATCAAACACTACATCTAGCTTATAAATAATAAATATAACAATTATCAGCTAATCTAACAGCCAGTAGTAAGAATGGTCAAATAAATGAAACAATGGTTAGCTGTAATAATGGATGAATAAATACAACAATAACCAGCTAAATGCAGTCATGTTATAAATGTATAATAGTATAGACTTCAGTTTTCATCATATTTTAAGATTTAGATGACAACAATGAGTAATCAAAACCATTCATAATTTTTTTTTTTTTTTAAAGTAACATTGTAGTAATATATAGTTAATAGGAGTTTTTTGTTTGCATAAAAAAAAATTTAGTAAAAGCTTTAAAAACAAAAACACTTTTCAAAATCACTTTTATACTTAATCGATATTACCCGAATGTTTTAGCTTTTAAATCGCTTCCCTGAACCAAGATTTGTTCTAAAAAAAAAAAAATTTCTATTAACATTCAGAAATAAAAGTAATATCATCTTCTTGACTTTAACAAAATTTACTTTTTGTTATTGGTAATGGGAAAGCAGAATAGTATCGAAAAAAAATGCTTGAAAAACAGATTAATATAGAATTTTTTTTTGATCTAAATGCTTTTTTGGGATTAATATCAAAAATCAATTTTAAGGAATTAACTCGGAAACAAAAAAAAAAAAAAAAAAAATTAAATTCATTTTGAAGTAATAATGTTGAAAATGCCTATGCAGAATAATATTGAAATTTGAATTTAGGAATAGTATCAAAAGACTTTATTTAAAGAAAACTTTGCGCTTTTCTTATTTCTACATGAAATTTTGCAATGATAGCTATTAAATTGGATGATTATTGAAAATAAATAATGGTTTTCATTTAATATATTAATTCTAATTTAGAACCAAAAATTTTATTCTTAATTGAACTAATTTCTTTTTTAATTTCAATACTATTCTGTTTGATTGTTTCCTTTTTATTAATATAATAAGGATTTTCAATATTATTCTATAAAGGGATCCCAAACCTCCGAGACATGCTGTGTTTAAATTAAAGAGAACGATAAAAAAAATGTTTGGGATGAATTTTTTTGATTAAAACAAAAGAATAAATGATTACCAAGTAAAACTAACTTTTTAATTTGTTAACTTTTTAAAAATTTAACATTTTAAGTTGAAGCTCTTCTTCTCCATTTTATTTTAGGCCTAAAATTCAGCATAATATATGCTGCAATCTTCAGACTTGATAATTTATTTAAGCGAATTTTATTCCTTTTTAGTTTTAGTTTTTGTACATGATGTCATTGTTTTTTTTTTTGCTGTTTGCGCAAGAGATCAATTATGTAAACAAATAAAAGTCAGTGACGTCATGTACTAAAACTCTTAGGAATAAAATGCGCTTGAACAAATGAGCAAGTCTGTAGATTGCGGCATATATTACGCTGACTTTTAGGCCTACAATAAAACGGAGAAGACGTGCTTCTACTAAAACAAAAAAGTTAGTTTTTCTTGGTATTCATTTATTCTTTTGTTTTAATCAAAAAAATTTAGCCCAAACATTTTTTTTATTCTCTTTAATATGAACACAACATTTCAGGGAGGTTTGGGATCCCTTTAATAAAGGAATATTTCGATATTATTCTATCATTTTGATACAATTGCTCTTTTTCAATAACAAACTTATTTTTTGTTTTTTTGCAATTTCAATATTGTTACTACTACCCTTGGTAATAAAATGTTTAATTATAAACATACCATTGATCTTCTTTTCGTTTTGTTCATAACTTTCAATTTGCTTTTCAAGTAGCTTACTTCTTTCCTCTGCTCTTTGTATCTAAATATTGTAAACATTTGAATTCGATTTGATTCTAAAAACGAGACTGTGCTAGTTTTTAAAATCAGAAGTTAGTTATAAATCCATGCATAGATGTTAAATCCATTATGGTTTTCTGGAGTGTGACTTAGCTGGCTTGGTGTAGTTCAGAGATAAATCTTTTACGCTGATTACTAACAACACAAGACTCTACTGAACGACATGAACAGTAGACTTCACATTATACCTATATCTATAGATAAACAGCACAGACTTACACATTATACCTATACACCCATATGCACATACAACCTGTTACATCATTTTGCATGCTTTTTGTTCTTTTATTGATAAACTTTGTTTGAACTTTTTGAAATTTCAATTTAGTTATGATCTCAAACTTTGATTCGGACCGTAGAGAAAACTTTACTTTTAAACAATATTTTTCCCAGTTCTTATATCATTTTTATCATGCTTTATATCATTGTTATATCACCCCAAACAAATTTTTTATTAACCACCTATTTGGCTAAAATCTAGTCTTATTAGAGTATTTATTAATATATTATTTATCTGCTGATTTTCATACTATTACTATTATCAAATTTTTATGCTATATTATCTTACATTCATTACTCAGCTTTGTTTTTATTTTCACATGCACAATTTTGGTCTTATTGTCTTATTATTATTTAAAGAGTTTTTTGTATCCTTCACTGCATGTTTACATTTATGCGGGTAACTTTTTTAACGGTTTTTGTACGACGCCTTTTCCATTATCATAGATTATTTTATTATTGTGATGATTTTAGGTTGCGCAGGTTGTTCATTTTCTTATAAATTTGATTGGTTAACATAATTTGAATGAGGTATCTATAACAGCGTTAGAGTTTATTGAAGACTCTATTGTATTTTTGTTGATTGAAAAAAAAATAAATAATAATAATAATTTTAATAAGTTATATTGCTTTCTGATTGTCTTGAGTTTATTTATGCTAAAAGTACCCATTTGGTATTAAATGTCTTAAAAAGAAATTTATTAGTATTTTTTGTTTGCATATTTACTTGAGTTGTTTTATTTTTATTTTTGTGTTTCTATCAGAATTTTAATTTGTTATATTTTCATGTTTTCTTCAGGTTACATGGTAAAATTTATTTAGTTATTTTTATTTATATTGTATAATAGATCCACACTTTTAATATCATTTCATCAAAAAAATATTGGTGCTTTACAAACATGGGGGTGATTGGGTTATGGCTATTTGTAATGAGTCCTTTTTTACTGCAGTATTAAATAGGTGTAAGTCATGGGGTAAAGCATAATAAAGCATAAGTGGTGATGACGTTTATCTGATTGGACAAACTAAATATTAATGCTGATCCTCATCAAAATGCCAGTAATAATAGAACTTAATCACTACACAAGTTATGTTTACACATTATTATCAATGTTTTTTTTTCATTATTAGGCCTTACATTGTTGTATGCATATTTTTTTATTTTGTAGTCAATATTTTGTTTTGTATGTTTTTGTTTGGTGATATACTTGTCAATATATAAGTGTCAAAATATGCTTTTTTAGATATAATGGTCAAAATATGCTTTGAAAAATAATTATCCTCTATTCTAATGTACTTCATTTTCCCTCAGATGTTTGCTGCTAGTGTGTGACCATTCGAAAAATTTATATGCCAAAGTCTTTAAATAAAATTACCACATGCATGCACTTACTACAGACTTCCATAAAACTACTACATACTTCTGTTTAACTATAAATGAAATGACAAAACAAAAAGCAAAAAACATTTTAAATTGCTCTAAACATAACAATGCATTCAAAATATTGTTTTTTAAACATAAAATAAGTTTAAAAAAAAACATAAAATATTTCTCTAAGTAATTAAATTTTTTGACTTTTTAATACTTAGTTGGACCACCTTTAGTCGTTACGATTTTAACAAGTCAATTTCGCATTAATTGAGCTAATTTTTTTGTCAATCTTCTTCTAGAAAAAAAAAATCTTTTGCTTTCTTTGATGTATGCTTAAGTTTGTTGTTTTATTAAAAGATAAATTATTTTCCTAATTGCAACTTTTTATTTGAAGCCAGAAGATTTTCATTGAGAATGTCCAACTTTAATAAACTTCATATTTCTTGTTCTATTCCAAGCCATCAATCCATAGACTATAACATTGCTTTCACAATTTTTCCTCCATATATTTTAATCTCCATCTAATTTCACAAGATTAAATTTTGAGCAGTCTACAAAAATTTTTTTACAGAATGATATCGACTTATTTACATATTTTTTAGCAAATGCAAGTCTTGCGTAGAAATCTTACTTTAAACACTCTCTTTTAATTGATTTTGAATAATACATGCACTCACTTGTATTACAAAATCTTTTTTGAAAAGACGACATTTTTGGAGCTAGTAAAAATCTGTTTTTTTTTCATTATCTTAACAGTTTATCGATCAATTCTAGAAGTCATTTTATGCATTTTTAGTTGTTTTATGCTATGGATTTTTTACATATCAAAACTTTTTAATCAAATTGCTTATGGTTTTTTCAGTTTTTTCATTTCAGTTGCTTTTTTATTAGCCTAAATGTTTTACCTTTTTTGAACAAGTTAATATTTCAAGAAAATTTTTCTAGTGACACGGCATGGTTTGTTCTATATAATAACACTAGATTAAAAAATTTTTTGAATAAAAAATGCTTTTAGTGGTCCCAACTTACGCTTTAATATTTAATAGCATAACAATATAACAAACAAGTTAACTTATAAAAAAACCAATAAAAAACAAGCATATATATATATAAAAAAAAACAACTTACTTTTAGGGCAAGTTGTTCTTGGTTTACTTTCTGCTCCTCTGTTTGTTTTAATAAAGCACTTATTTGATCCATAAACTGACTGCTTTGCTTCTTAAAACTGATTAAATACACTATTTATTAGATATAAGATATAGATAACACTTTTTTTAAAAAATAACCCCTAAAAAAAACAACATAGAAGCAATGTATTTAAAAAAAAAAAGAAGATAAACAAGAGAAAATAAATGTTTTTTGTTGTTGTAATCAACCTTCTTTTATATAGATTGCATTACTTGCATTACTTTTTCTAATAACTAATATATAGATACTACCTTCATTACTTCTTCTAATAACTAATATAGGGAAAATGCTTGAACTTTGAAAAAATTTGTAGCAAGTACAGAATATGAAAAAAATATAATAAACAAAAAAAAGTAAAAGAAAAAAGTTGTATTTGTTACATAAAATATCTGAGCACAAGTAATAGACTAGGAAATAAATTACAGCAATGTTCTTGTTCTTCTTTTAAAAAAATTCCCTTGATTATTAATTTAAAATTACCTCTTCTCCTTATTTATTAAATTGTTGCTTTTACTTTGCTAATTTTCTAAAAATGCTTTAGGATCAATATGATGAGGTTTAATCATATTCTAAGTAGGCCGATATAAAAAAAGTGTGCAAGCAAAGCAAACAATTTCCCGCCAAAAAATTTCTCCGTATATCAGGTAAATTTCAAAAACATTCAATTTTTTTTGTTCTATTATTTTTGTTACACAGTAAAGCAAAATTGAAGTTACAATGTAGTGGTTTCTTATCATAGTTTTGATTTTTTCCACAAACTCAAGGAGATTTTTCTTTTTTTCTCAAACTCAAGGAGATGAAATCGAGCAAAAAAAGAAAACCAATATTCTGTTGATGAAGATAGTGAAACTGAAACGCTTTGATGCGCTTTGATCGATTCAATAAAAAATGGTTGGTTTTTATTTAATATAATTTTATTAAAAGTTTTTATTGTGCATTAAAAATAGTAACTTAGTTAATCTAAAACCACTCTTGGAAGAATTAATGACATGTTATTAAACACCCTCCCTCCTTTCTTTAATTGAAATTAAAAAAAAATTTCCAAAAAAGATCCAATACTACCTTTCACTTTCCTCATCATACTTTTGACGAATAGTTTCAAGTTCATTCTAAATAAAAAAAAAAAGTATATTCTAAATAGAACCATCTCCTGCATTTAAATAAAAAAATTGAAAATATATATCCAAAACAGCAACAATTGAAAATATATATCCAAAACAGCAACATTTTACTGATTGAACTAAAAATTCGTATTATGCATCAATACAGCTGTAAGATACCTTACAAAAGCTGGTAGAAAATGAAAATATCAGATAGTAAAATTCTTAAAAAAAAAAGAACTTTAACTTAATAATTGGAATTATTTTTCACATGAATACAACTGCACATTTGTTATTATTAGTTACATCTTCATATTTATTAATACTAGTTATATAGTGATAGTTATTTCTGATGTACAAGCTAATTTTACCAAATAAAATCTGATAGTTCAAATCAAACAAAGCTACACACTAATATATTAATTGCAACAATTCATCTAAAAAAACTATTACCATTAAATCCTTTAGTTTATTGTCTTTCCTTTGAGAGTCCAGTCCCATATTTATTATGGTGTGTTCTTGAGAATTTAAAGAGTTCTTTAATTTTGTGACTTCACTCTCCCATTTAAAAGTGTCCCCTATAACCTCTTGACATGCTTTAAAAAAAATTATGGAATAGACCATATATACATTAATCATAACAGTTTTAAATATATATATACACATACACACACACACATATCCCACGGAATTAGCGTTAGTAATGCCAATCTAACTGCTGATTTTTTGAGATTGGCAAAAATTGCCAACCTTGTTTCTTTATGGTAACCTCTTTGTCAAAAATTTTTTGCCGACATCTAACAGTTTGAGGTTGGAATTTATTGCCAAACTCATTTTCCTAATTCCGAGGGTTATATATATATATATATATATATATATATATATATATATATATATATATATATATATATATATATAAACAATGACATCATACTGAAATAGGGAGCTGTGAGGGCTTCAGTACATGCATTGAAAGACTAGGTAGAACATTCAAGAGGGTGTCATTATATGGAGTAAGGGTTTGGGTTGGGTTCGTTTTCCAAAAAAACCTTATGGAAATGTATATCTACTTCTGTCATCCTCTCTATATATTACATGTTAAAAGGGTTTGGGCAGAAGTTTGGGCAGATTTTTTATGGGTTGGGGCAGAAGTTTTTTTATTATTCTTCATTTTTTTGAAACATTAATAATCTAGAATGATTGAGAAAATCTCTTCAAAAGATGGAAACAAACAATTATTAAATTTTTAAAATTATTTATGGTAAACATCATACCTTGGCTGTTTAACAATTCAGTTTCTAAGCGCTTAACTTCATTTTGCAGGTGTTTGGTTTGATCAATATAATCATCATGTTTCTAAACAACCAACCAAAAAATTCATAGAATACAAAATAACTAACCAAAAAATTAACAGAATAAAAAACAACCAACCAAAAAAATAATAGAATACAAAACTTAAGCTAAATATTTTTTGATGCTTCATAAAAAATCCTTACATATTACTTTACTTTAAGCAAAATGCTTAATAAAAAACATCAAAAAAAACACTTCGCAAAAAATGTCAAAAAATTTTGAAAAAGAATATAACTGATGCGATGAAAAAAAGTTTGTTTACACAGAAATATTGGTGATTTTTTTCACAGTGACTTTCAAAACAAGTTTAAAAAAAAAATGTTACCTTTAATAAGTCATTAGAGAGTTTGGCAATGGCATCTTTTGCATTTAAAACCTCGGTTTTAAGATTAGATTTTTCTTCTTCTAATTGATTAATTTTTAATGTTAAATTTGTATTTTTTAAAACAATTTCAGCGTTGATTGATTGCTACAAAATAAAAACATTCATATTTCAAAGTGATATAAAAATTGTTTTTAGTTCAGCAAAAACCAAAGTTAGTTATGGTTGATGAGGACTGATATTACCTGATAATGATCTAAATCACCAGAGGTTATCTGATGCAGATTAAATTACCTCAAAATCAAAGCACTAAAGGTATATAAGTAACCCTGTTTCCTAGTTGTTAGCCCTTTATGGTAAATTATTTTGTAAATATTTTATTGCAGTTTTGAAGAGCATAAAACCAAAAAAAGATTGCAAAACATAATTTTTGTGTATTTGTGAGTGTCAGTTATGTTGGGGCAAACACTATATAAATAATAAATAATACAAGATTAGTTACAGAATTATAAAAAAATCTTATACTTTTAGTATGTTGGTTACAATTTTTAAGCTGGTAGCAATAGTAAATATAAATTTAAGACTAATTCAAACATTCTGTTTCATTTGAAAGTGAAATACAAAAGCATGCACATTGAAATTATTTCCATTTTCTGCGGTATTTTGAGTACGTAAAATAAACACGATTTTCCAGGCGCATTATACAGACTTGATAATTTATTCAGGCACATTTAATACATAGGAGTTTTAGAGCATGATGTCATTGGAAACATTCTAGAAATTCTTTAAAAATCTTACTATTAAATTTTACTAAAATAACTAACTATAGTTACTTATTTTATTAAAAGTTTAATTTATTAATTGTTCGTTAGTTTTTTACAAATCTAACGAACAATTAATTAAACCAAGCACTAAGAAAAGATATAAAAGTTAAGAATATACTAATAAAATATATAATTTGTAATTAACTTTCAAAATTTTGACAAAATAAAAAATATATATTATAAAACATTTATTTTTGTAAACAAATGATAATAGTTTAAAAGATTTACGGCTTTACAGATGTGGCTCCGAGAATGAGCCATTGAATTAGCCATAATATTAAAGTAATAGTTCATTTGATAATATATTCTTAAAAAAATTATGCTAGATATCTCAAAATGCAACAAATTGTAAATAATACATTCCTAAAACATTTCAACAGAATACTCTAGAACTTTATTTCGCTTAGTCAGCGTGTTTTTTGAACCAATAGAATTAGTTTGTTCGCAAATTTGGCGAGTTTTTAGTGTTCCCAAATATTCTTTTTATTCTTCCGCAAGATGTTTTAAGAACATTCCAGTTAATTATGTTTCCATGTATGTCTGTAAAATAAAAATTAATATATATTAATTTTGTAATTTTTAAGCCCCCGCCATAATATATATTGGATGTTATAATAATGGAAATATAAATAATGAAATAAGATCACCTCAATACCAAAAAATACATTTTTGAAAATCAGAGAAAAAATGCGTTAATAATTTTTTTTTTTAATATTTACAAAGTAAATTAATAAAAGTGCATTACTATTTAGGTTAAAAATTATTTTATCTAATATTTTGAAAGAAAAACTTATAACAAAAGAAATCAAAATACAAGTGGTCTAAACGATTATTTAAAAAAGTTGCGCAAATAAAATACTATTTTATTTTTTATTTTATTTTTGTTTTTAATTTTATTTTGTTTTTAATTTTGTTTTACAAACACATTTTAGAACTTTAAAATATAATAAAAATGAATATGATTTGAAAATTGTAAAAAGTAACAATCGGTGTTTTAAACAAAAAAAAAAACTATGACATCATGCACTAAAACTCCTATGAATTAAATGCGCTTGAATAAATTATCAAGTCTGTATAATGCACCTGGAAAATCGTGTTTATTTTACATACTCAAAATACCTCAGAAAATGGAGAAGACGAGCTTCGACTAAAACAACAAGATTTGTTTTTCTTGGTACACATTAATTAGTTTTAATCAAAAAAAATTTGCTCAGATGTTTTTTTTTAACATTCTTTTTAAAATGAACACAACATGTCTCGGGACTTGGTAGTCCCTTTAACATTAAACACTTGGTGAATGTTTGTAAGACCCATGTCATATATTCTTTGTCTTGAAGTGGCATGAATTTCAACATTAATTCTTGATCTTTTACTTTTATGTTTTTTTTTTCCTTTGGTTCCATAAACTTTATATCATTTGTAATTTTTTTGTTAAGCTATTCAAATTTTATCTTTTTAATTAAAAACTTTTCACACAATATTTTTTAAAAGTTGCGTTTTTAACTTAGAACATAAAATACGACTTAATCAAAGTGAAAAAATTATATACACGCTTATTTCAAACTTAAATCAAATCTTTTTTAATAAACAGTAACAAAAATTTGTTCATTTAAATTAGAATCACATAACAAAAAAATAATTTTAAAAGTATTGAATCTATTCATTCAAATTTTAATTACTAAAACCTTTTTTTATAATTACTTGCTTGAATTATTTAAGTGCAATTTTTAAACTTTTTCAATTATATCAATGAAGAAAAGTAACGAAGGAACTTTTTAAATATGAAAATAAGAAGAAACTAGACACAAAACAACATTTATAAAGTAATAAGTCATTTCAATAAAATCAATAAAAACAATCTATTATTTTTAAATAAATTATTTAAACTCTATTAAAACAGAGTTAAACAAATTTGGTCAAGTACAACATTCTTTTTAACAATTTTTCTAGAAAACATTATGTTTGAACAAATATCAGAAAAACAACTGTTGCTGACAATTGTTGCTGACAATTTTTTGTAATCAATTTTAATCCATGAACTGTTGCTGACAATTTTCTGGTGTATTTATAATATGATACAAAACATTGTGTAAAACTTAAAAGCTATTACTAAAATATAATCAATTTTAATCCATTAACTTTTATATTTAAATATTAAAAAGGCCAGCAAAAATTCTTATAGCTATCTTAAAATATATATATATATATATATATATAATATATATATATATATATATATATATATATATATATATATATATATATATATATATATATACATCTATATATATATATATACATCTATATATATATATATATATATATATATATATATATATATATATATATATATATATATATATATATATATATATATATATATATATATATATATATATATATATATATATATATATATATATATATATAGAGAGAGAGAGAGAGAGAGAGATTTAAGTAGTTAATGGACTAGTCTAAACTATTCATAATTTAGAGAAATCCATGTTTATATTTGAACCTTTGAGAGTCTTCATCAGTGTTTTCATGATACACATGATACATTTTGTTGATAACAAATAGAGTTTTAGCTGTGATTTAATAGCTAAAATAAAGTCATGGCTGCTCTGATTGGTAAAAGAACATACAGCCAGTTGATTTTAACAGTCATAACTTTTTTGGACAAACGCCTTACTGGTTCATTAATATAACCCTAAAATTTATGTTTTTTATTTAAACTATAATCAGTCAAAATACAGATTTCATCTCAGAGAACATGTTTTAGTAATAAACAGAAAAAAGTAAAAAGTGAACATATGGCCTCTTGGTTCTCAACTGGCGATTAGTATTTTATGTAATTTTTAGTCAGTAGACAGTAAAAACTATACAATTATTAAAAAAAAATTATGCAATTGTTTAAAAAAATATTGCTAATCAATAAAACTTTTTATTCTAAATAATTGACTAAAATTTGCTAAACTTTTAAATATCTATTTCTTCAGAATTCAATAGATTTTAAATGATTACATAACTTTTTTTTAATCAATCTTTAACTAGTTAGAAATAAGATACTTAAAATAAAATTTTCATTGGTTAAAAATCTAGCCTAAACCTGCATTTGCAACTTTGTATCAGTGCCAGAGTAATGATCCAAACTTTCATTTAAAGATTTTATTGTTTCCTTCAGCTCTTTTACAGTAGATAGTTGCCTAAACAACAAGTAAAAATTGCCTAAACAACAGAAGTTGACCTAAACAACTGAAGTTTTCACAAAAATAAAAACAACTTAAAACACAATAAAATTACTCTGTAATTTCTTTATCTTTTGATTGCACCTCTAATTGTAAAAACTCCATTTCTTCTTTGAGCTTTGATAAAGACAACTCAGAATCATGAAACTTCTGTTGTAATATTTCGTGATCTTTGACTATAAAATATTTAATAAATTAATTTGTAAAAAAATAAATTACCTAACTTACTCCCTCACCACAAACAAACAAAAAAATGTTTTTTGCATCCTAAACAATTAAAGAATGTTCTGTTCCTCTAAACATTTTTTTTTTAATTTCTAATAATTTTTCATCTTCATCAATTTTCTAATTACAGGTTAATCAAAAATTTCTTACTTTAGTAAACAGTTATTTACAGTTATTAACAGCTGTATCTGTTTGTAATATTTTAAAAGTAAAATTTTTTATAAAAAACAATAAATTTTTATGTGATAAAAAACATATTTCTATAGAAAACACTTTTATGTAATAAAACAATGATTTATACATAGTAATTGCTTCTACACATATATAGCACAATCATAAAAAATATACTCAGCAATTTAATATTTATATTATTTGCATAAATATACTGCATTACTTGAATATATGTAGTAAGTGAAAGTGTTCTTATACTTAAATTTAAAACTTTAGATTGGTCCTTTGTGATAAGATGTATGAAATATTTTCTTCCCTCACTGCAGCTCAAGTTTCAATTTTTTATAACATAACCTTTCCAGACATTTAATTGACAGAATATCACACAAAAAACTGTTTCATTAAATAAAAAAAGAAATAAGCTTTTATACAATGAAATTTTTCTGAAGGACTTTTATCTAAATGTTTTTTGCAAAAAATTTTTAGTTTTTTATGAAAACTCTTTTTTTACAAAAAATTGTATAATTTTCATATTTTTAAGTCTAAAAGCAACTTTACCAAACAACAAGGACTTTACTATGATGATCTCATTAAATGTCTATAAACAAGATAAAGCATCTTTCTATTAAAATTCCTTTCAAGGCCAATGGCAGTACTAGAATGCATCTATTTTTATGTTGTATCCCAGTATCACAAACAGTAGATGTGAAAGAATAATATACAAAGCCATAAAATCAGGATCAGCTGAATCACAAATAAAGATTTGTAAGTCAGCTGATCCTGATTTTATGGTTTTGAATTCTGAGAACCTTTCCTTGCAGACATTCAGAGGTATTTCCCTTGAAAAAGAACAGCATGTCTATCAGACAGCTTTGCTTTAGTATTTGCAAGAATTTTTTATCATTAGTTGTCACAGTAAGACCATCACCTTTTCTTTGAATTGATTTTGTTAAGCAGTTTCAATTCAATTTTTTTTTTGACTGATAAGTTCTCAGGCTTGGTCGGGAAGCGGGTGCGATCGCACTCGATAATTGACCACGGAAATAATATTTGGTTGCGTAAAAACAGCCAGATTTTTTAGTCGTTTTAAGAACATTTCAAAAACAAACAAAAAAGCGCAACAAGGTTAACTGGACCGTTGAGAGACAGTTAAAAAAAGAAAACAGCTTTTAATGCAATAAAACTTTAAACAAAAAAATACAATTAGAGCAAATATTTTTGAAACGTCGTTCTTTTATATTTTTTTTATAAAATTAGGCGACATTTTTTATATAAAGTAACAACTTACTATTAATGATTGTTTAATAAGGAAACAAATGTTTTTTAATTTATCAATGAGTATATAATTTACTTATGTCTTATTTCCAGTGCTGGATTGAGGAGGTGGGGGAGAGGGGGATGGAGAAGAAGGGCTATAGCCCCGGGACTCACAATGTTAGAGGCCGCGAAATAGTCAAAAGGACCGTTCGGTATTTTTTTTAGTCATTTTTACGCAGTGGCACATAACAAATGCCTCTAAAATAATGCAGCCCGCGGCCCTGAAAAGTCCAACAAGATTCAACCAGTAAAACTAACGCTAGATGATTTATTTATAAATAAAAAGGTTCTTTTAATAACTGATTTATGCTTCGCGTAGTTTGAAAAGTTTAACACATTTGAAACTATTCTTTTTAGTAAGATGAACAAATAAAATAATTAAAAGATGAACAAATGAAATAATTAAATCATTGAGTTACTGTAGAAATTCAATTAACTAGATAGAAATTAACTAAAAATATTAAATTACTTTTTTTTTTTTTTAAATTTACCTCCTCAAGGCCGAGAAGGCCACTACAGACGAGGAGGCTACTTATTTGTGGTTATAACCCTCTCTCAACTCTATAACTCCGAAACACCAACCTTGATAAACAAGGCCGCTGCGCGGAGAAACGAGTTGAGCACGGTACTACCAGGGACGTGGTGGGGATCGAACTCGGAACCACTCGTTTATGAAGCGAGCGCTCTACCACTACACCACTACCGCATTATACTTAGTGAGTACTACCACTTAGTGAGGAGGAAGTGGAACAGCTTCATATTACTGCTGATAACGTTTAGTGAGTGGGCTTTATAATTTTAATTAGTATTTAAAACAGAAAAGAGTTAAGTATAACAAGTTTGTAAGAATATATGAAGCAAAAATAATTGAAGTTAGTTAACCAATTTCTAAGAACTTAAAAACTTTTCTTTCTAAGAACATAAAAACATAAATTTAAAACATTTATTTTTGCAAACAATTAATGTTAGTTTAAAACATTTATAGCTTTGTAGATGTGGCTTCGAGAATGACATAGTATTAAAATAAAAGTTCGTTTGATAGTATATTGTTAAAACAATTTATGCTAGAAATCTCAACAAAAACATAACAAAACTCAAATAATACAACTTTTTAAAATAATTCAACAGAATACTCTAGAACATTCGGTTAGTATTTTTTGAATACTCTAGAAATTTCCACTAGTATTTTTTGAACCAATAGAAATAGTTGTTAGTAGATTTGGCGGGTTTTTTGTGTTCGCGAATATTCTTTTTTTTATTTTCCGCACAAAGTTTGAGAACATTTGAGTTTATGTATGTTTCTGTGTAAGTCTGTAATACAAAATATTCTAAGATTTACGATAACTTAATAATTATTTTGCGGACAAACAAGGAAACATAAGGAACTTGAATGTTCTCAAAACAACTAAAAAATCTGGCCGGTTTTTTGCAACTAAATATTATTTCTGTGGTCAGTTATCGAGTGCGATAGCACTGTATAGCCTGTATATTCTGTATATATCTGCTTAATCAGTTGTAAGATGTTTTTTATACTTGATAATTTAACCTAATCTAAGTAATTTATTAACAGATAAAAATTTTAATTTTTTTTATTTAAAAACTAAAATAAATAAAGATGTCAGGTTATAAAGTAGATAATGTGTTAAATTGATGTGTTTTTAAAATGTTGTAGAATGATACAAACCTAAAACTGCTTTAGGTCAGCATAATTTCAGCACAAAATTTACAAACAGGATTCGACAAATCACCTAACTCCAAATATTTAGCATAAAATTAAGAGAAAAAACAAACACTGAGTTTGCCGACTTTTCTTTCAAGCATTGGCATTTGCTTAAAAATTTGAAAAACAAACATTTTACCATTTTAATAGAAATGAAACAATTTTGTTTTTTCAAGTTATTTTATTTAGAATTAAGAAAAATGCTTACTTTTTCTGTTTATTTTAACAACTTTATTTAAAAGTTAAATGAAGTGTTTATTTTGCTTATTTTAATTTAATTAAAATAGCAAACAAAATTAGGATTTAAAATTCTGAGGTTTGCAAATAATTGCCCACATAGGATCTGTCATGTCAATAGTTAGGTCAATATTGCCAAATGCTGACCCTAAATCAGAGGGCTGTATATATATATATATATATATATATATATATATATATATATATATATATATATATATATATATATATATATATATATATATATATATATATATATATATATATATAAAAGAGATGGAGTACTTTTGATAAGAAAATATACAAGGGTAGTACATTCAAATAGTTTTTGACTATTAGATGACCATTCATCCAACAAGTGTTGAACCTGAAAGAGTATTTTCAGGAGCTGGACTAATTTGTACTAAAATTAGATCTCGATTAGGAGACAAGAATTTGGATAATTTAAGCTTTTTACAAAGCTACTTTTTAAAAAATGATATTTAATAAAAGTTGTATTGATTTATTAATATATAAAGTTTATCGGTAATTTACCGATTTACCGGTATTACAATTTTCATTTACCGAATTACCAGTAAATCAAAAAGTCTGTAAATTAAACGGGTCCGGACAGCTAGTATGATTTATTAGTTTATATATTGGCAATATTTTTAAATACGACACAAACCAAAAAGGAGCCTTGAAGTAGAACAACCACAAAATAAAAGTATACATAATTTGAAGAAACAAGAAATTTTTAAAATAAAGCAATCATGTACTTAAATTGCATTACAAATGCATTGTCAGGTAAACTGTGTACGCAACATTGAGACAATGTGGTACTAAATGTTAAATCAATGCCTAACTAATGATAAATAAACCTTCACTCAATCAAAAAGCTTCAGAGCAAAGTTCAACATTGTTCAAATGTATAATTATATATTTAGAATCTGGAATAAAATTTCTTAAAAATAAATAAAAGATTTTTTTTTTCAATTTTTAAATAAAAACATTAAATTATGCGTTTTAAATTTTGGCAAAAAAACTCAAATAATTTAATTCTAATCTCTGTATAATTTAAAGTAACTTTACAAAAAATATTGTTTTAAGTATTTTTATAAAATATATTGTAGAGTGCATTAAAAAAAATTTAACTTCGAAACATTTACCTAACTTTGTATATTGATTGAACATTTCTTTTTTTTCATTTTCAGTATCAACATCAAGCTGTTCTATGAACTGGGATTGTTGTTTTAAAAACATCTCAGAGTGACGAACCTTTTGCTTCAACTTTTTATTTTCAACCTGTTTCAATCATTTAAATTAAAATGACAAACTATTTAAAAATTTTTTAAAACAACTCTAAGTTGTAACTCTAAGAAATGTGGATAGCAAACAGTTTCCAAAAATTCTGAGAAATAATTTTAACTGAAAACTTTTATAACAAATATTTTTAAGAAATTTTCCTTGAAGAATTCTTAAATGTTGTCAATTAAGTTGTTAATGTAAGAAAATTTTAAAAGGTTTTAAAAAAAGAAAGTAAATACCACAACTTTTCTGTACAATGCTTGTGGAGACACAGAATATAGATGTAATGGTGATCCTGATAAATCACCAATTGTAGAGCTTAGTTTCGGAGATTCAAATATAGTTGATGATGCAATGGGCATAACTGCTCTTGATACAATTGGTGACATGCCAGAACTTCCAGATAAATCTTCAAAATCTATAACACGAATTAAATAAAAAAAAAAGCAATTAATTAACTTGAAAAAAATTCAATAAGGTCAAAAAAAAAAAAAAAAAAAAAAAAAAAAAAAAAAAAAAAAGAATAAGTCAATTAAATAAAACACAATAAAAGGCCAACTTAAACAAATCCAAGTTTAATACTAAAAAAAAAAAAAAAATTTGTTACTTAAAACAGCCACCCTTGGCTTAAAAACACATTTTTACATGCCTAAACCTCAACTCTATCAATTTCATGCACTATTATTTTGGAATTGAGTTCCACATGTGTTCGAAAACTTTCTTTAAATATGTTTTTCTTGTGATACTAACAATGCATATTTCAAGGTCCACCTAAGCCCAAATGTTTTCAGTGAGACTTGAATCAGAGGATCGAGAACTAAAGGTTTTTTTTTATGTATGTATGTGTGTATGTATATACACAGATATAAATAAATATACAATATAAATGTTAGTATATAAACAAACACCTAACCATTATGAATCAACCAGTTGCCCAACACTTCTGACAGATTTTCACTCTGACTGTTTTCACCGATCAAAGTTGTTATGGCCATTATACCAGTTTGAATAGACTTAGGAAGATTTTGCACTCTTTCAATTGTGTCCATATTATTTTCAGAAGTTAAAGTGAGTTCCAGTATTAAACAAAGTAACTTAAAAGTAAAAATAACTTATGTAAATAACCATGTCATTTTTAAATATTTAAAAAAATGAAATTACAATTAAGGCACTATTAACTTTTAACACATTTGAATTAACTCTTTCAATTGTGTCCATATTATTTTCAGAAGTTAAAGTGAGTTCCAGTATTAAACAAAGTAACTTAAAAGTAAAAATAACTTATGTAAATAACCATGTCATTTTTAAATATTTAAAAAAATGAAATTACAATTAAGGCACTATTAACTTTTAACACATTTTGTGTTCATATTAAAGAAAATGTCAAAAAAAAATTTATTAACTCTAAAAAATATTTGTAATAAAAATGATTCTTTTATTTGCATTTAAACAAAATTTTTACTTTTTCTAATTTTATCTGTTAATCACTACAAGCTTTTTTTTCACAACGAGTTTAAATAATTAACTTAAATAATTAATTTAAATAAATGGCAATATTTATTAGGAATAGAATTGTTTAATTTTTTTATTAGTAAATATTGATAATTACATTGACTTTGTTCAAATTGCTCAATTTTCTTAATTTAAATGCAGTTAAAAAAGTAAGCTTGTTGTGTTTTACATTTCCATTTTGGTAACTAAAAATGTTGGTAACTTTAAACCAATTTGAACCTCCTAAAAAAATGACAAATAAAACATGTAAAGATTTTGCGATAATGATTCTTTTTCTTTCTATTAAGAAGTATCAAAATGCAAATGGCTGAAACTCTTACTAATTAAACTCAAAATAAATTATTGGTAGACTGTACCGTATATTTAAAGACTCTAAAATACAGAGTAAAATGGAGAAGACAAGTTTTAACTAAAACAACAAGTTTTTATTGATATACTATTTATTATTTAGTTTTTAATAAAAAAATTCAGCCTGACCATTTTTTAAAATAAATTATCAAGTCGGTAGAGTGCAACGTATATTTAAAGACTCTAAAATACAGAGTAAAATGGAGAAGACAAGTTTCAACTAAAATGACAAGTTTTTATTGTAATTATATTTATTATTTAGTTTTTAATAAAAAATAGCCTGACTGTTTTTTTTTAAAACATTTTCTTTAATATGAACACAATACGTGTTGGGGTTCTCTTTTAACTTAATGCAAAAAAAAAAAAAAAAAAAAAAATTCAAGCATTGGTATGCATTTACATCAGTTTGCACTTAAAACAACTAACAGATTTTGCCAATTTAAACAAAATATTTAACAACTTTGGAAAAAAATGTAGAAACAGCAATAAATTTAAGCAGTAGAGTCTGGAATTCTAATTATCTTAATAATTCTACCCAATAATGATACAATTATTAGTTTTAAACTAATTTGTAAACCTATGCTAAATACCTACAAAACAATTAATAACTTTTATTAAGTAAGAATATTAAGTAAAACTTATTTTAACTTTTTTAAACATCCATTTAAAATTTTGATATATAAATTCAATATAAAAAAAGTTTATAGATTGATTTTATCAGATACTAATCAGATGTTTGTGAACATAAATTATGTTAACAAATTACAATTATTTGATAAAAACTTTACATTGAATTAATAAAATTGAATTTTAATATACATAAACATTAACTAATTAAACTTAAACTGAATTAATTAAAATGAACTAAATAAACTTAGAAACTAAAGAAATCATTCGTTTATAAATTTGCTATATATTTAAAAATGGTTTAATAGCTAAATTCTCTAAAATAATATTGTCTACAGACCTTGTTTATCCGGCTTTTATAAACAGTTAATTATAAGAACTTTAGTAACAGGATGGATTTGAAACAATAAATAAACAAAAAAATAAATTCATAAATAAACAAAACTTTTTTGAATATATTTTTATGTTAATTCAACATTATTGAATGTTAAATTAACATAAAAAGTAAATTTAAATTTAAAATGATCAAAAGTTTAGATCAAAAAATGCTTTAATTTGAAGTAAAAAAAAATTTATTTAACAAATTACTTTTTCATCAAAAAAGTAAATCTCTATATATTGTTTCCGAACTTTATAGTGTTAGTGGTAGTGTCGTGCCCTTTCGAGCGTGTTTAACACGGAACCCTTGGCAGCCACTGCAACGATATTTAACCATATTATTTTAACAATATGTAACAATATTAAACATTTTAACAAACAAAAAGATTTTTAAAAAAGCTAAAAATTCTGAAAACATCAAAAAACGAGAAGTTTGTTGTGTTGTTTGTCATGATTGAGATACTTATCTTAGTTTTACATTAGTTTTTTACAATTAAGTTGAGTTTGTGCAAGGAAAATGTGTATATAACATGTTTATATATATAATATAAAATTCATAGAACTATAAAGTTGTTTTGTTTTGCATTTTAATTACCAAAAAAAAAAAAAAAAAAAAGCTGATGATTTGAACAAGCCACACGGTGACCTTCAAAAAAGTATAGAAAAATTCTTTGCGAAATTGACTTACAAAATCCTATATTTTTATGGGTCCGATCAGCTGGTTATTTTATGATTGCTGGGAAAATGTTTTAACAATAATTTATTCATAATTAAATGTTGTATTAAAAGATAATTTCAATATTCCATTAGATAAAAGTTTTGGCTAACAGTAAACAGCTTAACGGACAAGTAAAATTGTCATTTTGTACATTAAATGTGTACAGCGTAACACTATTTACTAAACCTGAATGTTTGTACAAAATTAAATTAAACAAATATAAAATAAATTATATAAAGATAAATATATAAAAATAACTACAAAATTATTCTTATAAACTTTTTCTTTAAAAATAACTACAAAATTTAAAAATAATTAAAAATAACTACAAAATTTAAAAATAATTAAAAATAACTACAAAATTTAAAAATAATTAAAAATAACTACAAAATTATTCTTATAAAATTATTCTTATTACCTTTCCAATTTCTAATTCATTTCCATATAAAACATCTTTTTCATTGACAATATCATTACTGAAAAAACCTAAGCAACAATAAAAACAAAAACATACATTATTACATTATATATAATAATATAATATAGTGTATATAATATATATATATATATATATATATATATATATAATTTTTTTATTTTTTGTCAAGCAACCATTTACAGTTAAAGGTAATTTCCGATAAAATATTTAAAAATATTAAATACAAGTATATTTCATTATTTATAATAGTTACAAGACTGGAGAACCTGAAGTAGATAAAATCTTATCATCAGTAACCTTTGATAATAAAAATTGGAAATAAAAGTGTATTGTTAGAAAAAATCATGTAAAGAATCGTGATTGGCAATAAGTTCGATTATGTTCTTTTTAAATTTTTGAGAGGTATTTGCTTCTTTAAGTTTACCACTCAGGCTTGTAAAATGGTTACATAGCATTGGGCCACGATAGGAAATGGCAAAACTTGTAAGTTTTGATGTACGGAAAGGTTTTTTAAATCATCTGGTAGATCGCGTGTTGTATCAGTTTAATGTTTTATGGAAAATATTTTCGAAAACCTTCGGCGTTTTTTTTTGACTGATGTTGAAACATAAATTGTGTAATTTTGAAAATATTTCATTTATAAATATCAAGTGCCCTCATGCTTTTTTGAGGTTTAGCATTTGTAAAGCGATTTTGAAAATGAATAATGCGTGCTGCATGATTCTGTTGTTTAAGGAGACAAATTTATAAATTTATTTGTACTACCCCAAACAATATTGCCATAAGATAAATAACTATTTATGAATGCAAAATATATTTGAGTTAGTGTAGATTTGTCTAAGATTTGTCTTGTTTTATATAAGATGCCAATACTTCTTGAGACTTTATTGCTAATATGTTTAATATGATCTCTCCAGGATAAGTTTTCATCTATTAAAATACCAAGTAATTTATTTGTAAATGAGCGCTCAATTTTGATGTTATTTATATATAGCATTGGTAAGGATTTTGGAATAGATTGAAACTTTTGTTTAGAATGGAATAAGGAAAACTTAGTTTTATCAATGCGTATATATATATATATATATATATATATATATATATATATATATATATATATATATATATATATATATATATATACACATACATATATATATATATATATATATATATATATATATATATATATATATATATATATATATATACACATACATATATATATATATATATATATATATATACACATACATATATATATATATATATATATATATATATATATATATATATATATATATATATTGATATATACATATATTTATATATATATATATATATATATATATATATATATATATATATATATATATATATATATATATATATATATATATATATATATATATATATATATATATATATATATATATATTAGGGTTATGACTTTTTTTCAATTCCATACTCCTGTACTGTAGTTTGATGAACTTTTACCTAAAAAGCAAAGAATGAACTATTATTTGAATATCTTTTCAAAAAGTTCACCCCGCCATTGAAAAATCAATTTGACATAAATACTACTATGTATTCAAAATATTTAGAATGTCATAGTCATGTAATACAATAAATTTTCAATCTAACAATGACTCAGACCATTGACCTTGCTCTTGCTTGTTGCACAGAAGGAATCAAAGGTGCAATTTATCTTTATTTTTGCATGATGAATAAATTTCATCTATTACTTTGTTTGCGCGCTCTGCGCATTGATAACTTCTGGGTATCTGTAGTACGGATGGCTTTTGCTTTTAGTAATTTTTCAAAGCTTAAAACCTTTTTGTATGGATTCAGCATTTGAGCCAAGTTACTAAAGTTGTTTTTATTGTACAGTTGGTCTGTAAACCAATGGTCTGCCCAGCCATACGATATAAATCAACAGAACTCTCTGCAGAACTGTCTATGAAGGCCAGGATCGCTAGTATAGCTCTGGAGTTCTACCTCGCATTGCTGATGTTGGGTATTTTCTGAAACCTGATCAATGGAAAATGTCCCTTTTCCTCAAAAAATTGGAACACTCGAGTGAGATGAAACAAAAATTTCATATAATCTCTCCAACCTGATGTTTCAAGAATTACTTCTGTTCTGTTATCAAACTGTGTTTCAAATTGTTCGCACTCCTTCAACAGTTGATATAAAATGGATATTCCAAGTTTGCCGAATGTGTTATACTTCCAAGTTCTTCATCCATCACTAAACGGAGGATTCCGTTTACTTAAATACTTGGTGTTGACAAGTGATAAACTGAGGTTTGTTGATGCATTTCTCTGTGAACATTTGTTGCAATATTACAACAACACCATCCTTTTTTCCAGTGTTAACGCTGGTGGTACCTGCAACAATCATCTGTATTGAATTCCATATGTGATATTCATCGAGGACTTTAGAAATTCCTTGAGTAATAGTTAGAGCCCTGCCATAATCTCCACTTGGAGATGGTACAATTACTTGTCCTCGGAAGATAACCATGTTCCATCTACTTTAGTAATATTAAAAATTTCATCAAGGGGTTCGCAGCTTCCCCGCTTAACACATTCATCATAACATTTCAGTATTTTATCAAGCTTTTATCGTACAACTTGATCAGATACATGAGGAAAATTAAGTTTATTCTTCCACAATTTGGTGACTTCTTTGGAAATTTCCGCTATTTTATCCTTTCATCCTTTCATTTTTGGTTCAAGGAAATGGTAGCGTCCGATAATTTGTTTTTGAAGAGGCATTCTGCACTTTTCTTCCAGTGAATATTCTTCCAAAGGGACCATTCTTCTTCTTTTATGAGAGCCTTCAAATTTTACCCGACTATTGGTCCAGACATCCTTGTTCTTCTAAATGCTACTATAGCTAGACTTGTACGATGCCATGTGTTGCTTCTGTAATAACTATAAAATTAGATGAGCAGCAAATATGTTTTAAAATATTCCAGAATGTTCTAAATTGTTCTAGAATGTTTCAAAATATTTTAAATTGTTCTAGAATGTTTTAAATTGTTCCAGAATGTTTTAAATTGTTCTAGAATGCTCTAAAGTCTTCTAAAATATTCTGTTATTTTCCAAAATGTTCTAAAGTTCTAAGCACTTCTAATCTATACAAGTTTTAAATGATTTGCAGGAAAGCCACTCGTATTAGTAGTAGCAGTAACAAGATTAAATAAATGACGAAACGCAATTTGAATAGAGGGATGACCTTTTGTTACAATCGAGAGGAATTGAACATGTTTTCAATTTTTTCTAATAAAAGTTCATCAATTTATGACACAGGAAATAAATTTTTTTTTTAAAGTCAAAAAGTCTAAACCCTAATATATACATATATATATATATATATATATATATATATATATATATATATATATATATATATATATATATATATATATATATATATATATATAATATGTATATATATATATATATATATAAATATATATATATATATATATATATAAATATATATATATATATATATATATATATATATATATATATATATATATATATATATATATATATATATATATATATATATATATATATTAGGGTGTCCCAAAAATCAACTTTTTAAAAAATAATCTGCTCTCACCCCCTAAATGTGTTCTATCTAATACAAAAACACTAAGTTTAAATTTTTTTTCAATAAAAAATGATTTAAAGGGTCCCTCAAGACCCTCGAATATTTAATGGGTCCCTAATATTTTTAAAAAAAAGTTTTTAAGAATTATGTCAACCTGGTACTCAAATGAACCAAAATTATATAAAAATTTCAAAAATAATGTTCATTTCGAAAAAAACGATACGTACTTAAACAATACTTCTTTTTTTTAACGAAATCGGCGATTTTTTTACAGAAAATTGTTTTTTGTTTTGGCAAATATTGTATATTTTAAGGGAAATATCGTTACGTATCATTTTTTCCGAAATGAACATTATTTTTGAATTTTTTATATAATTTCGGTTCATTTGAGTACCAGATTGACATAACTTTTAAAAACTTTTTTTTTGAAAATATTAGGGACCCATTAAATATTCGAGGGTCTTGAGGGACCCTTTAATTTTTTATTGAAAAAAAATTTAAACTCAGTGTTTTTGTATTAGAACACATTTAGGGGGTGAGAGCATATTATTTTTAAAAAAGTTGTTTTTTGGGACACCCTAAAATAATATAATATTTTTGTCATTAATGACGTCACACAGCAAGTTATTCTAAATATTAGCAACCCTAATTGATAAGGAGTATTTACGGACATCAAGTATGCACTTTAATTTGCATAATTTGAAGTTTGCGTATTTTGAAATATTCATTAGTGCTCCGTATCAAGACCGTTAAGACTTCTTGGTGTCTAAAAACTAAACTAAAAAAATAAAAATAAAAAATTGATTGTAACTTATAGTAAGACACTTTAATGAGGATTTTCAATTTTTTGAAGTTTTGATTATTTGAAGTAAATTATTTTTCTCCATTGGAGGTTCGCATACCTTTAGATTTATATTTTATATTACCTTTATATTTAGAAATAGAACTTATGAGAGTTTGCAAGAGTAAAGATATATATCAGGCCTTGGCATGAAGAGAATTGTCCAGCGCGATGTTTAGCGCTCATAAAACTCAAAAAAAAATTTAGTGAGTGCGATTATGCGCGTTTGTTGTTAAGTTATTGGGAGCGATTTTTTTTTTTGGATATGGGTGTTCCACACAATTTTAAGTTTTAATTTGTTATACAGTGTTCTTTAGATGATAAATATTCTAAAATTATTATTTAGCAGCATACTGCCTGACAAAACATTTAAAATTCTTTCGACTTCCTAAATACTAATTTATTATTTGGTTGCATCTGAATGTGTTTTTTTTTCCCACCTAGTTCAGGCTTGGTCGGGAAGCGGGTGCAATCGCACTCGATAACTGACCATGAAAATAATATTTAGTTGCAAAAAACCGGACAGATTTTTTAGTCGTTTTGAGAACATTTAAGTTTATGTATGTTTCCTTGTTT